GTGTTCGTGACTGGCCGATGAGGTGCTGATCGAGGACGAGCTGCTCATTGAAAGGAGCGCCATTCTGGAACTGCATGAAGGATCGCGTGAGAGACAGCGAGGTAGGGCCCATGCCATCAGAGACCATGAATATCAAGTTCCTCTTCCCACTTGCTTGAGGCGTCTTGGAGTCGCTCGAACTTTGGAGGAGAATGCCGAGCACAACAACAGCGCCTGTTGCAATAACAGCCCACACAAACAGTCCTACTTCTCTCCATTTCTGTGATTGTGAATATCCCTTCTCTCCATATCCGGTCCGGCGGCCTGTGAGTAGGGCATCTTCTTCTGCCAGATCGCGGCCACCGCTTATCTCAGAAGACGCGCGGTTCGACAGTAGGGGGCGAGCGCCAGACATGGTGGATGTTGTGGGAGCACAAAGGCTCAGCAAAGACTAAACAGTGCGAAGGCGACGCGAAGGTTGGATGCGAGGTTTCTTACATGCAGACTTGAGACTACGGGGTGGAGACCTATTCAGGTCAGATGGACAGCCACGGGGGGTGTTGCGACGGATGATCGACACCGTATGTGTTGCTAGCGTGACACGCTCATACCACGTGATACAAGCTTTATCCTTGTGATATGCACTCCTGGTGACGTCTTGGCGAGATTATAGTGATTTTTACAACAATATAGTAGCAACGTCGAAAACCATGCTTGACCATTTGCCAGCGAGTACACATACGTGTAAAGCTGCTTAGATAATTCTATCATGAAGAAGACAAGTGGTTTAACACAGGATGTGTGTGTAGACTTACTGGACTACAAGACCTTTACTAGTCGTAAACATTACTGCAGAAGACGATAGTCTTAATGTCCATCACTGACAGCAGGTTATGTACTGTCATTATTTTCCTATACTTCCTACGCTCTAGCAATTTCATCAATCTAAGCGCTCTTTGAATCAATCTCCGTCTCATGCTGTGTTGGTCCACTACACTACGGTAATTTCGATAATCGCTATGCAGTCAGCTTAGATCAGAATTATATCGAATCAAGCTAATAGGCACCGCGAGTGATATATTTCGCTCAAAGCTCACATGAAAGGATGGCATAGGTTCTATAAACAATCTTTGGACATAAACACGTCCTGGTGAATTTTTTTCAAGTAGTAGCAAGTCTGTAGCGTTAAAAATTGATCAGCTTATCAAAAACCCGGAAAAATATCCTGGAAAATTCCGAAGCAGGCATAGAAAAAGACCGATGGAGTGGCCGAGCCCTTGGTAGAGAGGGAATTAAAGTGTCAGCAATCTCTACTAGAGAGACGATATTGCTGATAGGAAGAGCCTCTGTAATAAGACTCATTGAACATCTCCGTTTTGCTCTCAATCCATCTAAGAGCTGAATACCTAAAATCATACTGGCAAACTTATGTGCAACAACCGCGTACATCGCAAGTTGTAGGAATGAATACTGAAGGTAGCAGTTTTGTGGTTGTAGCTGCTTCAGTATGTATTTGTCACGCTTGCGAAAGTAAGACACGGCCACCCTACTGAGTATATGTCCAGAGGAAACATACTACCTGGCTTTATAGTTGGAGCCAATTATGAGATAGATGTTTCCAAGAATTTATTTTCTAGTGCATGCGAAGACATCGGGGAAACTTGTCCAGATGGCGCGTTCATAATAGATATCCACTCTGAGTGCACGTATCGCTGTGCCCTGCATGTACCTGTACAAGAAGCTACCGCCGCATTCCTGACGAGTAGCAAGGGCACCAAAGTTCACCCCCCACTAGAGAAATGTTGAGACAACTAGAGAAATGAGTTAGGCGAGTCATACATGCATGCCAAATCACCAAGAGCGAAAGACAAATATGAAAACAAGTATGCACTCAAAATCGAACTTTTGATTTCAACTAACGCCATGGCTGGTGAACACACCGCATCTACTTAGGTTATGAAGAATATCCATAAACGCCCACGCTATGCTTTAAAATAAAGGATGAACTGGTCCAAGCTACTCATATGATTTTGCCTCTAAATCTCCTCAGATTCCGTCTCGAGCCATTGGCCAAAGTAGACGCAAGTTCGTGCTGAAATTTCACCCTCATCTCCACATAAGTCAAATACTGGACAGTTGCCGCAAGGAGCGTCTACGAAGCCATTGTAGACTTTGGTATCGGTTGCGCGCAGCACAGTCCGATAGTTGGTACCGGATATTTTCTCTAGCCGATCGTCGAGCACCATCATCTCGAGTAATTGCTCCATGTCGTCTTCGCGCACGGATTTGCCACGTAAAATCTCTTTCGAGTTGAGCCAGTTGGCTACGGAGGCGGCCGTCGGGTACTGTGGGTTGTGTCGATGGACAAGTTTAGTTACATTTGGATCCTTGGATGGGTGATGAGGCTTAACAGGCGGTGCAATGTCCTCAATGTCCGGAACACCTTGCACCTGCGCCTTTTTCCTGGCAATTGCAGCCGTCCTGTCTTCTGTAATGTCGTAATCGTTCCAGTTGCCCGGCACCCGGATGCAAGTTTCATTCTCCACATGCTGTGCAACAATACCCGATATTGTATCGATCAGCGCCATGTCGAAGTCACCTTCGGATTGCCATGGTCCACCAGCGATATCTTCTGACGGCGTGAGATGCTTCAAGAGATACATTTTGCGGTTGGGGTTCTTGACGCTCATGACTGACTGCACCAAGTCCTTGGACTCCAAGCTCTTGAGGCATTTTGTGAGGGTTTGCTGGGTGACGTTGGCCCTGGATCGAAGGGCCTTGGACCAGACGCCTTCGGTCTGGGCCTGGTCGATGTATGAATAGATGAGGCGCTCGTCGGGAGTTAGTCGTCGAAGCCTAGGTGCACACGTCAGCAGGATATTCGCATATGCGATCTCGAGAGTTTGAGTCTGCGCACTTGTGCACAGTATCAAGGGCGTACACACTTATCGGCCTCTTCCCGTGTTCTCAGCTTCCAGCACGTAACTCCTTCAAAAGTCATGATCTTCAAGAGATGGCGGTCCCCGAGCTCTTGCAACAGTTCCATCAGCTGCGCCATGGTATCTGCAACCTGCATGTTGGACAGGTCTCGCTGGAAGAAGATCTGGCCTGCTGGTCGTTGGGCGCATTTCTCGTATAGCGCATCGGCGGGGCTGAGGCTTTCATTGTTGCTGTTGTTGGCGTTGGCGTCGACAGGCTCTTCTTTGGGCACCGGCGAAGGCGCCGTTACTGAAGCCATGCTGGTGGGTCTTAGGTCTGGGTGTGCGTCACCGGTCGATCATGAGGTTTTGGCGAAGGCGAAGGTGCAGACGCGACGACATTTCAACCGTGACCAAAAGTTTTTGGCGGGACCGCGGCGAGTCACGCCCAATCACGTGTTGGCGGGAGTGGAATGCGGGGAAGACGCTGCCGCTCCTAGCGTGGTGAACGGGTTGGTATCAACGCTAATTGTAAGCCACTCGCCCATCCAAGCTTCTCTCCCATCCTAGATGTTACTTTATTCAAAAAAAAACACTGAGTATGCCTGCTCCTCCAGCTCTGATAAAAAGACTGTAGGCGCCAAAACAGCCGGCCCGATCGACATCCCGGTTAGTAGATAGCACCTCTGTGCTTTGCTCGTATCGGCCGTCCTCCGGCTAATAATTGTCTGGGGTTTTCTCTCTAGTCAGTCGTATTCTCCGTGAAAGATCGGTCTATTCGTGACTGATATGAAATAAATCAGCACTAGGCATGATCGACGCATCTAGAATAAACATCCCCTAATAACTAGATACTGAAACTGCCTCCTATTGTTTAGCAAGCCAAATCAGGATTCAATGTAATCTTAATATTCTCCAGCGATTACTATTTAGAGGGCTGCCCAGCATAGATAAACTCGTTCACATAAGACTCTAGTCAACTCCCTAACCCAATTTCCTCTTGCCCAACTACCAAGATGAAGCTTACCTACGTTTTCCAACACCTGTCTATCATTCTTTTGTCAATGCCCTACGCTCAGGCGGACGTTAACCCACGTGAAGTGGGTTTCTCCCACTTGACGGGTTTACTACCACGAGGTGTTCCTTGTGAAAGAGGCAGCGTAAGACTATCAGCCTTCCTTATACTTTCTGTAGATTCTAATTGTTTTAGGATTGCCATACTGGGTGGTGCCAAATGTGCGATTATGGGAAGTATACGCAATGCATGTCTCAACATAAGTGTAAGGCAACAGATTGCGATTGTGTTGGGGGTGCCTAAGCCTTTGCAAGGCCACAGAAATAACGACTTCAGCCAAGCCGCAGCATGCAAGGGGTCAGAATCAAAGGGGCGCTGTGCCAAGAGCAATGATGCGTGCAATATCACAGGGTTTTACTAGAGAGTTAGAGCTAGTGACTACAATAAAAGGCTTATGTCTGCGTACATATGAGAGAAATGTGCTCGCTTGTTGATCTGAATGTCGCTTGGACAGTTTTTGACGATGCCCGGCTCTGATGTTCCTTTGGGTTGATGCCCCTTCCCTAGGAGAACGATATAGATGGTAAAACATTCTTTACTAAATATATCTTCGCCCTCTTAATTTTGTTATTTAACTTAGTTATTGTCACGATACTCTGAACTGGAAGATAACCTTTGTTATGGGCGAAGAGGCCTTCGAACGAGTTTGCATTGACCTATACTAGAAGAGAAAAAATCCAAGGAGAGTAAAGCTGTTGTTCGACACCTTCTACTCTATACCTTTGCTCTAGTCCTTTTTGTACGATAGACTTGTTTTAGTTTGGCTTCCTTCTGCGACAGGCACGTGATCATATCACGTGCCTTCTTCACGGCACAGCCCCTCACGATTTACTTAGACTACTACAATCTTGATTTCTGCATTCAAAGTAATTCTGACTATCTGCGAATTATGATATAGGATTAGTTTAGAGACAATAGACAGTACGCTACTGAATTGCTTTGCTAGAAGATCTTAGTGGTTCTGCGCGGGGGAATGCTTTACCCATGGAGAGGGAGGTTACCACCGCGTGCACTCCTTGGCCTACATACTGCTCTTCCTTCTTCTTTCTCCATCCTCCGTCCTCTCACTCAACACCCTGCTCAAGTGTGCCTATTGCACAGAGATGACTAGAGGCACAGCAGTAATGTCAGCTTTCAAGTCCCTTTGCATGTCATCCATGCTGCACCCCACGCGCTAAGTTCACCTAGCCACGGGTTCGTGCATCGTGGCTCGGATACGTAAGGTGCCTTTGCATTTGCAGTCAAATCCTTGACCCCGCATATGAGAGACTTGAAGTCGAGCAGCATATGCCGGCTAAAGACTGTCGAACGAAATTGTAAGGCCGCTCTGCGCTGGAAACAATAGCCGATGATCTTTCCCTACTACGGCATGCAGCGTCTGCACAGCAAGTCCTGCGGCTTCCACTTTGGTAGGCATCTTGCGAGCAATTAATTGCTGCAGTCTCGTCTACTCGAAAAAATCGCACTTGGACTGTGTATATGCATGCAAAAGTATGCTTCGTGGCCGTTCTTGCATTAAAGCTCTCTCATCTGCAATCCGGGTACCATCATCCGGCTACAACCCACAGCCTGGTCCTGCACCTCTATACAGTCAAAATGATTTCCGGGTAGGGACAACTAGATACCAATCAGATCCCGCTTGTCCTTCCTATCCGGGAAAGCAGATCATTGCTCCATGCCGTGAAACCATTGCCTTCTACACGATGCCCACTTCCGGTTATCTGGAACCCGACTGACGGAGCTTTTACTCCACAATGAGGCGTCTGGGGTCCCCGCATGTGTACCCTAAATCATGAGCATTGCATGTTCATAAAGACAGTCCACATTCCATCGCTGTAATAGTTTCTTCACTGTCGTGCTTTGCACATAATAGTGCCACTGAATCAGCCAGAGGCCAAAACACCATGGCAGGAGAGAAGCAGTTCCCTCAACAAATCACCACCAGCAGCAATCTCACTGCTGGTAGCAGTACCACTGATGAAGATACCACTCGCAACCATGGACTTCATCACGACCATGTTGCCGAAGAGGCGCTCGGCGGACGCACGGCCGACTTGGGCAAGCCATACTTTACCAGCATCAACTTCATCGGCACAGTGATTGTAGGTTTTTGTGGTTTTTGATCGATCCAAAGCTCACGGTGTGCAGGCTACATGCTTGGCGCAAATATCTGGGTAATTTCATGTCCAACTCATACCATAGGGTGAGACACTAACTATCGATCTAGGTATCTTGGCTGGGTTCTTCCATCCAACACCTTGAGCCTCATTAACGCTGCCATTGGACCATCACCAAATATCATATGGGTCAGCATCTCCTGGACAGCCGGTTTTGCCATTGGCTTCACGCTTGTTGGTCGCCTGTCTGACATATTCGGTCGGAGATGGTTCTTCATTTGTTCGTCTGTTCTCGGTCTCGTCGGAAACATCATTGGAGCAAGTGCACAAAGCATAGATATGTTAATTGTCAGTACCAGAAATTGCCATGTCAACAGACGGCGCTAACAGAAACCAGGCCACCAACTCAATCAACGGCCTCGCTGCTGCCGGTCAGCTCTCGTTTCACATTATCCTTGGTGAGCTTGTACCAAACTCCGTCAGAGGTCCAGTCAATGCTTTTGTGCTTTTCACTTCGGTTCCGTTTGCCGTCTTTGGCCCTCCAGTTGCTCGATCACTATACCAAACCACAGCTCTCCAGTGGCGATGGTGCTATATCCTAGGGTGTATCGTCAATGTTTTTGCTGTGGCCATGTACTTTTTCTTCTACTTCCCACCAACATACGTAAGCGAGCTCTCATTCACACGCCTCGGCCAGGGGGGAACTAACAAGCACAGGAAATGCTCCACGTTGGCGGCAAGTCTAAACTCAAACAGCTAAAGACTCTCGACTGGGTTGGAATCATCCTGTTTTCAACTGGCCTCGTTGTTTTTCTGATCGGCATGAACTGGGGCGGCTCGGCATACCCATGGGATAGCGGACACGTACTTGGGGCACTGTTTGCGGGATTTGGCACTCTGGTGGCATTTTGCTTTTGGGAAGCCTACGCTCCTGGACTCGAATACCCACTCATACCTCTACGATTGTTCAGGAATATCAAGTACGATGCGAATGTAGCGTGTGCTAGCTTGGCGGCTATTGTCTACTATGCCAACACGGTCATCTGGCCCACCATGGTCTCTGCACTGTTCACAACCGACATTTCCAAGGTCGGGTGGCTATCCGTAAGTTTGTAGGTTCTTGAGCTTTTTGTGTGTCCAGACTAACATTCACAGTGTGCTGTTGGGGGTGGTCTTCTCCTGGGACAGATTCTTGGAGGTGCCGGTGTGCGCTATCTACCACGAATGAAGATTCAGATGACTGTGGCAGCAGTTATCACGACGGCCTTTGTCGCCGCCGTTGCCGCATCCGACGAGAGTACCGAAGACCGAACCACAGCTTTTCTATTAGTCGGCACCATTGCAGCAGGATACATTGAGAATCTGACGCTTTCGAGTACTGCATATCTTTGGGACCCGGCGGATATCGGTCTGGTGACTGGTGTCATGGGAGCCATACGTACCGGTCTTTCGGCTATCGCGACAAGCATGTACTCGTCCATCATCACAACAGAGTCAAAAAAGTATATTCCGCGAAAAGTCGGACCCGCTGCTCTTGCCGCTGGACTGCCGGAATCGTCACTAGAGTCTCTACTTTCAAGTATTACACTTGGGGACTTCTCAGCCGTGCCTGGTATTACACCAGACATTCTTGCTGCGACCGGAAAAGCTGTCAAAGACGCTTATGCACTTTCGTTTCGAACAGTGTATCTGTGTACACTACCTTTTGGAGCACTGCTTATTGTTGCAGCACTGTTGTCGCCAAATGTAGAGCAATATCTTACCGACGAAGTTGCTAGGAAGATGCATGATCGGATTGAGAAGGATGAAGGAGCTGAAAGGAAGGAGGTTGTTGAAGCGTAGTCTGAGGTTACGAGGAGTTACCCAGTACATATATATACATATGTAGGCATTTTAAGAATGTATAAATTTTTCTTGGATCAGAGGTTGTTTTTCGTTTGCTTGCATTTGTCTGCCTGGTAATGTAAAATCATCTAATCTTGATTGAATTTCTAGCAAAAAAAAACACTCTTACCTGTATTGTATCGACGTCTTCTCCTCCTCTCGTCAAACCTCAAGACTTTCTCCATCCATCACTCTCTCTTCAACCACTGCAGATTGACCGCACTAACACATCCCTTCTCCCCCTCTCTCAACCACCCCAACAGATTCTCCATGCCCAGCCGCTCAAACCCTATATGGCTCTCTACACTGGCACCCGCCGTATGACTCAGAACCATGACATTGTTCCTCGTCGCCAACCGCGCATTCACACGCGGCTCGTCGGCATGGACATCGAGTCCTGCCGCACCGATCCTCCCCTCATCCAACGCCTTGTTCAGCGCCTCCTCATCTATTAGTTTCCCCCTCGCAATATTCACCAGCCGCGCTCCGTGCTTAAACTGGTTAAACTGCGGCGTCGAAAGTAGCACTTCGCCTTCAAAGGGCGTCGCCAGCACCACGCAATCAGACATACCCAGCAACTCGTCCAGCGTCGCGCAATACGTTGCTCCGACGCTCTTCTCCCGCTGTTCATCCTGCCTCACGACGTCGTAGTACGCGATGCGCATTTCAAACGCGCGCGTCGCTTTTTCTGCAATGCGCATGCCGATGCGGCCGAGGCCGATGATGCCGAGCACGCTGTGGTTCGGGTTGTGCGTCACGGCCGCAATGTTGCGGTTGGCATCGTGGAACTGGTCTTCTGACAGGGAGCGCGCGGCGAGAAAAGACCACGTGATTGCGCGGTAGCACGACAGAATCAGCACAATGGCGGCGTCGGCGACGGACTCGGTGCAGGCGGATGCTGCGTTGCAGTAGATGGTGCCGTGCGAGGCTAGACTGCGCGTGTCGACCCAGTCGAAGCCTGCGCCTGCTGAGGCGTAGATTTTACAAGAAGCAGGGAGCAGAGAGCTAAGTAACGTCGTAGATTGTTAGCAGGTAGTACGTACGTAGTACTAGTAATTTGAAATTTATCTCTTGCAGGAGTTTTTTTTTCTTCTCTTTCTCTCTCTTTTGAGTATTAAGACAAAAAAAAGGAAGAAACACATATTAGAATGGTAGAAGATGATTCCAAAACTTACATCAACTCCTCATCCCAATTCCCCATTTCCCCCCCAGTATTCCAAAACGGCCGGTACATGCCTACAAAGTCCCCCCACCGCCTCTCCCGCAGCGCCTGCTTAAACGCCTCCCGGCCCATCGAATACGTCCGCACGACATGGAACCGGGCCTGCAACTCGCCGTACAGCTCGTGGTTCCATCGTATATCGTCGCCGAGATGCAGAATCGTGGGTTTTGCAGCGCCATCGACTACGCCTGCGTCGTGGGGTACCGACGCCATTGCGTTTTGCCCAAAACTTCCTACGTACTATTTCCCTCTTTATTATTTATTTTTCTAAAAAAAATAATCCTCCTTCTAAGAATCAGCCCTGCGTGAAGCTAAGAATGGAAAGAGAGAGAGCAAAAAAACAAAGTATGTGTATGGCTCGTTGAACTGGGTTTGTTTCCCAGCTCTCTCTCTTCATCCGTCCCGCAGATAATGTTGAGACGATGCTTGGTCATGTGGTCTCTTTTTTACCACCCCCAGCAGGGATCCCGGGTTCGCGGGTGTGCGGGGGGGGGGGGGGGGGGGAGAAAGCACGGGAAACGTGGCCATGCTCTTGGTTGACCGACCAAGTCGGAGATAAGAAGGCCTAACACCACTAATACCGTAATGCCTGTCATTCACATAGCTACCGTCAACATCGAGAGTGCATTTCTTGTCTAGTTTAAATCTTGTTGAAACCCATTTTTGCCGTAGTGCTGATATTTGGTAGTGAAGGTGGCTCGTTCTGGTGGACTAGTCCACTTGGCCTGCTAGGCTTTCCGGTTTCACCGATCGACTGAGAGCCATGCATTTTTGTCTTTGATGGGGACGTGGGGCAAAACAGGGTACGTGGTTAGACCTTCCGCCCTCCCCTGATCAGCTAAGGGTATGATTACGTGAGTAGCGACGAAGATAAGACACCCAGACCTTGCACTGCACGTTAGGTGGTTGCTCGATGCGAGTCGTTGAGATTGAGTTTTCTTTGTTGTCTTGGCGGTAAGGATGTGGGGTGTTTGAGGAGGCAATATGTCTGTTAGTCTGCGTAGGGTTTGTCACTAGAGATATGTGTTGCTGTTCTAGTACGTAATGCAGGCTGACAGCATCATCTCATTAAACATCCTTGACGAAAGAAGAGCTTCCTCATCCGTCAATGTTTTTTTTCAATAGCAGTGCAAACTACACACAAGGTGCCAAGGTTGACAAAATTAAGTAAAAAATGTTCAATTCGGAATCATACATGTCGTAATAATACTACGTACACACAATATCACACAGAAACGAAAGAGGGTATAGAAACACGAGCACCGCATTCAGCCACAACAAAAACTGGAGCGTAGATCCTCCAAACGCCAAAAAAATAGTTATAAAATCATCAGACTCTGCATCAAAACCAGGGCACAATACCAAGTGTTCCCGGTCCAGTTCTAGTCGAACCATTAGCTAGACGGCCGTCGGCCCCAAGTTGATTTACCATGTCGTCCCAAAGCGGCCAGTCCATGTCGCCATTGTCCATCATGTCGTTTCTGTTAATCTCCTGCCCATTCGTAGCTCCTTGTATACTTGTCATGCCTTGACCTCCATTACTATTCATGTCGAAGCCCATGGTCGTGTTTGGGAGCATCCCGTTGCTAAAGGTACGATATCCATTCGCCGCGGTCGGGGCATTTGTAGCAAACACTTCAGCGGCGGACAAGGATTGTGAAGTTTGCAAGAGATTCGGATGCGCAGCTCCAGATGTAGACGCCGTACCTTGAACGTAACTCGGGAAATCCAGCGGCGCATCTGCCATGATATTGTTGATAACGTGGTCGAGATTATATCCCGAGATGTTCATAGACGCTTGTGCTGAATTGCTTAGATCTTGCACACCATCTGGGAATCCTGTCGCCGGTCCATCTGGTAAAGGAAACTGCATGTCCATTCCATTGGGCCAGCTGGGCTGTTGAGTTCCGGGTACGGCGCCAAGTTTGGGTGCAACAGGCCGGAGCATGTCGTCTAGAGTTTGTGAGTTTTGCTGAGGAGATGTAAAAGAAGTCCCGTCCGTCTGTTGCAGAACCTCGGGAGACTTCAAGTCGAATGTGTCACTTGTAAATTGTCTATTTTGGAAGGACGAGATGGCTTGCTCGAGGGCTAGTTCGCGTTCACGGGCTGCTCTTGCCTTTTCTAGCAACTTGGCGAGTGGCTTCCATACATGGCCATGGTGGGCTTTACGCTGTGACTCGTCAACGGTAAAAGGGATCCACCACCGACTAGCACAAGTTTCCAGTGCTCTCCACGCACGGTCTACAGCCTCGCCTTTGGTACGCACGCAAAGTTCGGAGAGCAAGAATGCAATGGCATGCCATTGGACATAGGTTTTGAAGAGCCAGCCCCATTTCATCGTGCGTGCTTCCGTCTCGATTAGTAGGCCGTATTCTATGTTTTCCAGAGAGGTGACGAAGAGCTTGTCTCTGATCTCTTGTGATAATGTAGCACCTCCATCCTTGCGCTGATGCGGGTGATAGACAATTAGCCACATTTTACTCATAATGAGTCTCGATACCGTCGCCGTGACCCAGCACAGTGGTATGGTCATGTCGCAATCCTTGAGGTATTTTTCCTCTATGGCCTGGTGGCAGTTGGTGATCCATTTTTCTTTCTGCTCAACGGTGAGGGCTGTAAAGAATTGAGTGCACCTGTTTGGGCCTGGAGGTACGTAGACGATGCGACGCATTATGTTTGCAATCTCGAAGCGGAGTAAGCAGAACGTCATGTCGGTGAAGCCTTGTCGGCTCTGAGGGAATTCAGTCATTCCAGGGTGGAGATCATTGTCATTAACATTGAGAGGCTGTGACAATGGTTAGCAGGCATGTATGCATCGCACCTGGAACTGAACCAAACTCACCATTTTTGTGTCGAATAGAGCCTCATGGATGCTGGGGTCACACCCTTGATCTTCGGCAGATCTGGCGTCGAGAATGCAGACTTGCCACCAGAGCCGCCTTCGCATCTCAATCTCAAAGGGTGGCAGGTCAAAGTGGGTGCCGTCTCGGTGGATGCCTAGGGTTTGGGCGATGCGAACGACGAGACCAGTCAATGTCCAGATTTTGCGCGCATCGTCATTGCAGCGCAGGACGATAAGGTAGACGACAAAGGCTTGAAGGATGAGAATCTCGTCGCAGTAGAGGAAATTGGCTCTTGCAAGAGCCTGCTCGAGGCCGAAGCGGAACCTGGTGAGAAGCGTGCTTCGCTCTTCTCCCCACTTGTTGCGACATTCAGCGGGCGAGATGCTGGTCACAGCACCATAGTATATTACAAACAACCAAGCTTCGAGTCCTTTGCTGACCTTTTCGATATTGGCAGCAGCATTCAGAATAGTGGGCTCAAACGTAGGGACGTGCAAGACTTTGACTAGAGGCTCTACGTTTTCTTTGTAGATGTTCCAGAACTGGCGGGCCTGGTGTTCGGGGGGATGCAGGGCTTGCATGTCGACATTGGAGGAACTGTAGCCGAAGATGAAACTGTTGTATTGTGACGAGGGTTCCGAGGACCCGGGTGTATACGCATCGTCTTCGTCGTCCGAGGGCTCGATGAGGATGGACTTGAGATCCTCGACCTGGAAAAAAGTGTCGTGTTAGTTTGCGAGGAGGACGTGGTGAGGCAAAAAGTAAAAAAACAAAGCGTGCCCGCGTACCTCATTGTTCAAACTAGCCCAGAAGCTGTTGTTGATGTAGCGACTACGGCCATTCTCGACCACGAGCCGCCCAAAGCGCGCCTCGAGGCCCTGGAGGCTGTCGTCGTTGGGCGTGGTCGAGGTGGTCGTGGTCGTGGTCCCCAGCGGGCACTGGTCCTGGGCTGCTGCTGCTGCTGCGGTGGTTGGCTCTCTCTGGCGGTCGGCGGCATCGTCGTTGTTATTGTTGTTGGTACTGCTGCTACTGTCGTGGCCCTCGACTTGAGCATTAAGGCTGGTGACTACGCCCTCGAGGCGGCGCAGTCTCTCGAGCAGCTCGGCATCAGGGGGTTTCCTGCTCTTTCTCGGGGCACGGCCGGGGCCTGGGAAGACACAGTCGATTTTGGCGCGCACACAGTGGGAGCACGGGTTCTTCTTGTCACATTTGACCTTGCGCCTACGGCAGGTAACGCACGACCGGGGGTTTGGTGTCGGTGTCGGAGCAGTGCCGGGAGAGGGGCCGTTGGCAGGGCGGCTTGGCTGGCTTGGATTGGGCGAGTCCTGGCTGGGGCGCCTCTCGTCGGACATAGTACTGATATCCAAGTAAATATCGAGCTTCGGGGTTTGAAGTTGGATGGCGACCTTTACAGACGCCGCCCTTTGTGCATTGCCCAAGACTTCTGGTATGCGCACGCCCGGACAGGTTGCGGCCGTACTTTTGGCGGCACCACCCCCTGTCCTAGTCGCGCGTCGGAGCTGAGTCAACATCAGATTCCGACCAACGTCCAGGCTCACCACCACGTGCCCGTCTCTTCTCTGCTTCCAAGCATCTACTTAGTATTATTTAGTACAAGTATTACTATCTACCGACGTACTCCCATACATGGACATCCATGTATTGCCCGGCGAACCGCCGTGATTGGCGCCCTCTGAACATAGCCACACTCGATTCCATGGCCCGCATATCCCGAATCTCTCCACTGGCACCCTATCCACCAACACCATCTCCTTCACCGTGACGGCTTCAAATGCAGTCATCCATCCGTAATAAACTTTGGCCAATTGCAATATCACTATCAACACCCTGTCGTGCTACACGGCCAAGCCTGTAGTGTACTTAGCTGTGCCCTCTTTCCAAGCCCCAGTCTTTACCCAAAAAAGACTCTCGCCTGTCATAGCCTTGTTGCAAGACATCCGTCTACTGCCATTCCCCGACCATAGTCCGACCATGTGCTCCTATCTCCGCTCGTTTCGACCCCCGACGTTCCTCTCCTTCTTCCGCCTGCTGTTCTCCACAGTCAGCCTCGCCCGATCCTCCGCCTCATCCTCCAGCTCCTGGTCAATCATCTCTCGGACCTTCATAATCTCCTCGAGGGAAATCCCTCGTGTATCCACCGTCACGCTAGGCGCACCCTCCAGGTATCTCAAATTCTCAAGCGCTTGCTCAATAAGCTTGTGTAGCTTGGCCTGCGAGTTGAGGTTCTCGTGTCGTTTGATGTTGTGTAGGTCTGGATATAGCACCCCGTCACCGTTTTCTGCCCCTTGAAATGCTTGCAGGTATGGTACATGGGCTGGAAGCTCGTTGTGCAGTTGTGCACCAACGCACACTGAAGTTTCATGACACCATGTCCGAGCGACGTTGCGTGGCGTATACCCACCGCCGCCTATGATGAGCAACGGGCGGCCGTATGCCTTGACTGTCTCCACGCAAAAGCCATGGGCTTTGATGTTGAGGTTGAATCGGCCAAGTCGATCTCCGCCCAGAGAGTCGGCACCGGATTGCAACACAATTGCCGTTGGGTTGTACTTTTCAATGACTGCGCTCGTAACAGTCTTGAATAGCCATTTATACTGCTCGTCATCGATGCCGTCGTCAATTGGAATGTTCAGGCTGTGAGCCTTACCGGGGTTTCTGGCATCCGTTGGGCCCGTCTCGTCAATGTTCCCCGTGCCTGGGAAGAACGGATAACCGTGCTTGTCAATGCCATACTTGTGATATGAAAGTGTGAATACTCTGTCAGTTGACTCAAATGCCTGTTCCACACCGTCGCCATGGTGAACATCAATGTCAATATACAGCACCCGCTGGTGATGTGCTAGTAGTAGTTGGATGGCTATGACAATATCGTTGACGTAGCAAAATCCCGAGGCTAGATTCTTCTTAGCATGGTGTAGCCCGCCGGACCAATTAATAGCAATGTCGGACCGGCTGTTGAGCAAATTCCAGGTCGCGCTGCAGGTAGCCCCAGTGTAGAGGGATACGTAGTTCCAGAGGCCATCAAACACTGGACAGTCATTCGACTCTCCACCAAATCCATATGTAATGTACTGCGGGTCGTCGGGCTGTGCATTCTGCGGGGTAATCTTGCTGAGGTACGACAGATACTCGCGGTCATGGAAAATGGCTAGTTCGTTGAAGTTTGCCGGCCGTGGCTCAAAGAGATCCATCGTGTACTCTAGTCCATAGGCAAGTACAAGTTGTTTGGTGAGCGTCAATCGCCATGGTTTCATGGGATGCGAGCTGCCAAAGTGATGATACTCGACATGCGGGTTATAGTGAAACGAGACATTCCATCCTTTGGGTCGCTCCAGCCCATGCTCTTCGGCCTCACGAGCGATTACCTCAATCTTCTCAGCATCTGTCATCGCCTTGAAGTCCTGGAAGCTTGCTGGGTAGGCATCATCTGGAGATAGATATTCCTGCACAATGTTGTTGGCAGGTCCATTGGACGGGATATAGCCTGGGGTCCGCATATTGCTTGATGGTTGAGACGCGCTGTGAAGGATAGTGTGATCAAATTCGGCTATGATGCGTGGTTTCGGAGCACCCTCCCAAATCCAACGGTTGCAGTCGTCCTGTGTCCCGATGAATGTGTTGTTAGACAATCAACGCGACTTGTTTTCTTCCTGACGGCGCTTTCCCCAGCGCGCTAGAATCTCAGGGTCAGGAGGAAGATGCTTTGCTGGATTTTCCTCTCCTGAACTGGTCTGAGGCTCATGAAGAGGGGACAGTACTCGACTACTGTCGGTTGCACTTTTCTGCAATTGTCAGCATGCGCCAGAAGTCACGAAGCTTGCACAAGACCGAAGCTCCATGAGACTTTCTTGGATGTAATACTAGCAAAAAGCTACTTACATTGAGTTTTCGCTTCTTTTTATTATTAGCTGTGCCTGCTGTTTTTAGTTCCCCAGGCTTCTTCAGACGGTAGTCTACTCTTGCTGCACGCCGCGCCCCAGGGTTGGCCAGTTGCCACTGTGGCCCGTTTAAAAGTGTATGGAGCGTTTGCTCAGCAGGATTTGTGGCGAATTCTGAGCTTCGACACGTTGGGGTATATTTTTCTGGGACGTAGTCGGTGTCTTGGTCGCTGTTATTGTCGTTGTCGGTGTCGTAGGTGTCGTCGTCGCCATCTTCACTATCTGTTGACGAAAGGACCGGATCGTCTTCGGCGCTGTTGTCTGATTGGCCGTAGTGCTGCATCCTGCCGAGCGCCTGGCTGAACCTAGCCTCTTTGTCAGCTAGCTGTGCCTGTTCATCCAACCCACGCCAACGACCGCGACAGGACATGACAATTTGCTCGACTTACGATATTTGAAATTAGTCGTGTGTAAAAGCTGATCAGTTCAACTGGACCGTGGCTATCGTGTAAGAGGGTTAAGACGGCACCTGTTGGTTTTTGTATTGAGCGATTTTCACTTTCATCGCACCTGTGGCTCTTTCACCTGCGCGGCCACCTACGTCTCATCAATTTTCATCGAGGTCACCGTCGCAATAGACGCATCTGGCTTTTCTTGACCCGTTTGAACTTTCGTTGAGGCCCCGAGTGCGTCGCATACAGTCGCCTCGCAGGTTCCTCTTGCCACCAAACAAACGCGTTCCCAACCGCACCCCATCTCCAAACATCTGTCATGGCCATCGCAGAGGATGCAGCGACGGTACTTGAGCAGTTTGTACATGACGGTAACCTCTACTACCTTCAAAAGATGAAGTGCGACACCAGCTGACGTTGCATAGTCGCAAACTTGCCAGCTGAGATTACCCACCTGTACGAAGAGGTACAGGCCAAGGACAATCAAATTCAAGAGCTGCGCGCCGCGATACATCAACGCGATAGCAGCATTCAAAAATTCATCAAGCTGAATGGTAGCTTGGTGGAAAATCCAAAAGAGGCGGGTTATTCTAAAGTTATTGCCGCCAGCTACGAAAAAGCGCAGATACTGCAAGAGGAGAAGATTGGGCTGGTTGAAAAAGCCGCGGCTCTTGTATGTTCTTGGCCTCCACATGGCTACGGGTTTGCTTACAAGAAAACAGTTGGACCGCCACGTCAAACGTCTAGATATCAAGCTACGAGATCTACAAAATGATGGCTCGATACCTACAGATCCTCAGATGCCCTCGCTGTTGAGAGACTCACCTGGAAATCTAGTCCCGCCAGCCTCAGTGACCAACACAGGGGCCAACACGCCATTGCTACCTGTGTCGGGAAACCACGGAGGCGGTGCGCCAAACCTTGCGCAAGCAGCCGCGATTGCGCGACTGAGCAGCGCGACCAACGTAGGGCTCAGTTCAAGGACGAATCCTTCGCTGCAGAACATGCAGACACAGGCGCTCCTGAACCAGCAACGGCTCACCAATGCTCAAAGTGCTATCCAGGCCAGCGCGCGACAAGAGCGAGAAGTGTCGGTGGGCAGCGACACGAAGCGTCGCCGTCCGACAGGCAGTATTGGTCCCCTACCTTCGGCGGCGTCGAGTCTGGGCCGGCAAGGGTCAATCGGGCCAGGTACCCCTAAACCGTCGACACCAGGCTCGCGGGCAGGCAGCGTTGGCCCTCGACCACCAAAACATCATGCACTCACAGTGAAGAAGGCCAAGCCACAGCAACCGTTGCGCAAAGCTGCGCTCACAGCAAAGTCTGGCGTGAACAAGAAGCGTCGCAAGGGCGGGTCCCGAGCGTCGCCGTCCACGACTGCAGACGACGAGAGCGTAGCGAGCGAAGCAGGGACCGAGGACGAGGACATGTCGGGCATGGGAGGCGGGGATGCAGAGGAAGACGAGTCAGACGATACCAAGTACTGCACATGCCAGCGGGTCAGCTTTGGCGACATGGTGGCGTGCGACAACGACAACTGCAGATATCAATGGTTTCACTGGGAGTGCGTGGGCATCAAGGAGGAGCCGCTGGGGGACTGGCTGTGTCCCGAGTGTCGGAACCAGGCACCGACGAAGATCAAGAGAGCACGTTGAAAGGGGCTAGAGTCGAGATTGGCAACGGCTAAGAACTGGGGCCATGTGGGATGCGGCGGTGCAGGCACAAGGCAATCGATAGAGCGACGCAGCCGCCAGGGCTTGCGGGAGAGGCGTTGATGCTAGAGTGTTGGAGAGCGACGGGCGCGTGGCGCGGTGGCCGGAGTGGTTGTTGTTGGCCATGTGTGTGTGTGGATAGACAGTACTATGTAAGCAGGCAGTCGGATGAGTGCTACACCCGCCCGTGGGAGTGCAGCTTGCGGTGTTCCCCCCGTGCCCAAGGAAATTGGGGCAGTCTCCACTCGTCGGGCTCGCGACAGGGGCCGTGATCGCCGGGCCAGGCCAGGCCCAGCGGCCGAACACGCTGGTGCTGCTGATCGTGTGCGTGCAGCGGACAGGAGGGAGGGCGCAGCCGTTGGGGCGGGAGTGTCCAGGCACCGGGCTGGTGGAGCGGGCTCGTGTTGGAGTGAGTGGGAGCAAGCAAGTATGCAGCAGCGGGCGTGGGCAGGCGAGGAGCATGTGCCGAGTGCATGGCCAGCAGCAGACGGCCCAATGCTTAGCAGACGGCCTACTATAGACGCGCGCCTCCCGCTGGCGTGGCTGGCCGGGGGTGTGGCGCGGGGGCGCACAGCAGTGGCGTCATGGCCCGGCGGCCTGTGATTCGCCCGCGGGTGTGGCTGGCGCTCTGCTGGCCCTGTTGCTCCCCCTTCGCAGCCAAGGCGCGGGCACGAAAGGGGCACCACGGCCGACATTTGCATTGTCACTGCACCAGACCAGCCTCATAAGTCTGGTGGGCCCCCCGGCTGGCTGGCCTCGCACATGCTCGCGCTGCCGTGCGCTTTGCTGTTGTTGTTCTGGCCGCTGCTGCATTTGCGTCGTCTTCGCCTTTCTCTCTCTTTTCATCTGTACCCGGCCTGCTTCTCACATTCCCTCTGGCCGCCTGACCGCCTGGCCGCCTCCCCACTTGCGTCTTGTCCTTGCTGCATCTACTACTAATCGTCGTGCTGATCGCCCTTCGTTGCCCTCCCCGGCGCCTCTCGTCTACTACCACGCCTACCGTTTCAGCTGCACCTGCACCCATCTCCGCCAGCCACTCCGGCTCCCTCCTTCTTTATTTTTTTACCGCCTGTGGACCGTCGACACGGATACGACACTAGCCAACGGCTGTCAGCCCCCGCCGTCTCACGTGCGACGCCGCCCCCGATGAACACTATCAACGCCCGGAGTGGCACCCTGTCACCGCTGTCAACCGACGGCCAAGAGTGGTCCCCCATCAACGGGTACCGGAACATCGCAGGCGACAACCCCTACTCACCCACAATCCCACCCAACACCTACGGTCCAAGCAACCCTGATGGCGGCATGTCGAATGGAATGCGCCCAGGCACCAGCAATGGAAACCCCTCACCGCCCAGCTCCGTTGGCCGCTCAAGCGACGGCACGGGCCTGTACGCCTCGAGCCTCAACGAGAGCATGCGGCCCATGATGGACAGCCGGAAGATACAGGCTCTCGAGGAGACCATGGCCGAGCATTTTCACGTCCTCAAGGCCTATCTCGGCCCATACCTCAACGACGAAAAGGGAAACCCACGACCAAGCAGGGCAAAGGACAAGCTGACCAGGCTGTCGGCCGTCCAGTTCCAGGAACTGAGCACCGATGTTTACGACGAGTCAATACGCAGAGAACAGGATCGCAAGCGCGGAGGGCCGGGTGCGCCTGGAAACGATACTCCGCAATTCCTCCTCCCCAAGAACAGCTTCCACCCCAAGCGCAACCAGGCGCGACAGAAGCTATCGACGCTGCCTCTCGAGCGCTTCCGCCAGCTTGCTACCGACGTCTTCTACGAGCTCGAGCGCAGGTTTCCCCGCTTTACTGGAGGCGAGATGCCACCGCGTCCATCAAGCCCAGCCATGAGCGTTCAGAGTCGCATGAGCAACAGAGGGCCCCCGAGCAGAGCTGGTACACCAAACAGCATGGGCGGCCGACCTCCGCCTGGCCAAGGGTATCGAGGACCGCCTCCCATGGGCGGGCCAATGGGCGGGCCAATGGGTGGTCCAATGGGTGGTCCAATGGGTGGTCCAATGGGTGGACCTCCAGGACCGCCGGGACAAATGCGGCCCGGCTCGGGAAATGAGCCAGGCTCCTTTGGACGCCCATTGCCCAAAACGTTCCAGTCAAACACAATTGTCCCGAACAAGGGTACTCTGGTTGAAGACGACGATGACAGTGCTGCAGATGACGACGATTCCTTCAACCTCGAGGGCGCTGCTGCTAGACGGCAAACAAACAAGAGCGCAAAGAGCATAAACATGGCTCAGGAAAAAATGGTAGAAGACCTCCAGAATCAGGTGTCGGAACTGCAGGGCAAGATTGGTACCTTGGAGACTACACTACGAGACAAGGACGAAGAGTTGGAACGCCTTGAGCAGGCTGGCAAAACGCAGGTCGGCGCCTCGGAGACTGACCGTGCAGAGTGGGATCGTCTTCGCTCGTCATTGGAGCAAAAAGTCGAGGAGGCAGAGAGCCTCAACTCGTCTCTCCGGTCGGAGATAGACAGGCTGCGCAATGAGAACGAAGACATTGAAAAGAACCTTCGCGCACAGATTGCCGACCTCGAATCGAGACCACCTCCACAATCGGCGGATAGCGGCGATGGACAGTGGAGACAACGGTGTGAAGAGCTTGAACGGGAGTTGAGTGAGCAACAGCAAGTGACGGACGAGGTCCGACGAGATGCGTCCATGTTCTTACAGGAAATGAAGGAGCTGTCAGCTCGCAGTGATGCGGCTGCAGAAAAGGAGGAACAAATGGCGAATCAAGTTCGGTCGCTCGAGGCTGAGCTCAAGGACTGGAAATCACGATACGCGCGCACCAAGACGCAACTTCGAAACCTCAAGGCATCGTCCATGGGCTTGTCCCAACTTGTAGCAGCCGACCTGGGTGGCTATGCCCGCGACTCTTCCTTTACATCTCCCGATGGAATCGTCAAAGATGTACATGTAACCAAATTCCAGCTCAGTATTGACGAGCTGCTTCAGATGGCAAGGAGAGCCAATTCGGAACAGACTCTTGAAGGCATGCGCCATGTTGTCAAGTGTGTCCGAGCGATCACGGGAGATATCGATAACACATCGCTTTCGCAAATCCAATCACCCACAAGCAGTGTGAGCGGTGACATGCTGGCAAATCCAGAGAAGCAACAGGCAAAGCTAAAGTCGCGTGTCAGCGCTACGGCCAACAACCTTATCACGGCCACGAAGAACCATGTGGCTTCTGGTGGACTTTCGCCAGTTAGCCTACTGGATGCTGCTGCTAGTCATCTGTCCACTGCTGTTGTCGAGCTAGTCAAACACGTCAAGGTTCGACCTACACCAGAGGATGAACTCGAGGCCGACGATGAGGACGCCGACAGGCCCATGCCACTCAAACCGGCTGTGTATTCAAACAACGCTGCAGCAATGAATGGTGGAGCCACGATGAAGTCTGGCCATCAACGTGGTAGTAGCAGCAGAGGTGGTAGTAGCGACACTACTCGCTACAGCGCATACAGCGGCTATGATGGTCACAGTGTCGGCGGGAACGGCGCACCCGACGGCGGCATGCTCGAGTTCAAGGTACATTCCTAGTCGGCATGGGTAGCCACGACCTACTGACGCTCGCAGAACTACCTTGAAGATCAAACGGCTCTTCTCGTCCAGAGCATCCAGCCTCTCGTCACGCTCATACGTAACAATCCAGATGGGTCGCCTGCGGATGATCAGCAAATACATGAATACATTCAAGATATTTCACAGGCAGTTGAGGACACTGGAAACAAAACCTACGATGCCGTCAACCAGCTATCGAATTCCGCTCTGAAGAAGCATGCCATTCCAGTGGTTCAAGTCCTCGATGAGTGCAGACAAAGCATGCTGGCTGTTGATGTTAGAGGTGGAGGCCGCGAGAAAATCCCACCCCTTGCGTTCAGGACTGCAAGGGCTCTCAAGGTTCGCCTTTTGTGACCAACGTGGTGGTTGTACTTGTACTGATCATGAAATAGGAACTCGTACTCCGTGTCGACCGCATCGAATCGGGTGAACTTACAGTCGAGCAAAATCTTAATACTGAGTGGTAGTAGTAAGCCAACCACGACAACAAGCACACATGAACTTCGAATGCAATGCCGCGCACTCGCAGTCAAAACTAGCCATGACCGGCGTGTGTTCTACTCACGGATGCATTTTCAATTTGCTATGCATGACGCATGGTCACCATAGCATGGTGTTGAGTCCTTTTTTTTCTTTTCCCAAAGGCAACAAGACGTACTTAGTCTTTGTTCCAATGTCTGGATGCCTTGTCTTTCCTCTCCTGGATTTTCTACTTTGCTGCATAGCTGTGCTGTGTACTGGGATGTTTTGCACCGTCGCCGTAAGGATGGGAGGGGCATGTGTTCTACATAATGAGGAGGACTGGAAAAGGGACTTGGAAAAGGGATACCACGAAGGAGACATGGGCCAAGCCGGGAAGCTTTTATTATATGGAGTAATCAGAATAAGGATTTTTATTAATTGCAAACTCTTTTTTTGACAATCATGGCGTGATGAAGGAGACAAGTGGGGGACGTAAGACTAAGAACGTGGCTGAGCACCGCGTGGCTTTCATACCCCGCCATGCATCACGACGCCACACACCGGTAGAGTAGACCCTGCTTTTGTTTTTTTTTCGCGTGAGGCATCTAGACCGAAGAATTCTAAACTACTTGTGGCTACACCGTCCTCATGACAGCCCGGATGGGGGGAAGTTGTCTGATACTTGGCTTGCGAACCAAGAAGATGAAGGCCCGAAGTGACGTCATCACACAGGTGTTACGCGTGTGACATGTTAGCCTCTTGGTGCTGATGACTGTCTGCTGTGATTATCATTGTCATGTGTTCTTGCTTTTCATTATCGGAAGACTGTGGCATTGATCTGAACGTACGACAACGCAGCCCAGTATCGCCAACATGGCTCAACAAATGCAACCAATCTACCAGGGACAACGACCACCATACAACGATTCCATACTCACAATCACAAAGAGAAGCTGTGCTGATCCGTATGTACTATGGGACAAGGGCACTTACTACATGACCTTTACATGTGGCGGGCACGTTGAGATTTGGTCTGCGGATTCCCTGTTCGATTTCGAAGAGCGGTCCAAAAAGACCGTCGTATGGAGGCCACCGCCCAACCAGCCCTACTCGGCCGATATCTGGGCGCCAGAACTGCATTCCATCCAAGGCCGCTGGTACGTCTACTTTGCCGCCGACGACCCAAAGCACGGCAACAAGTCTCACCGCATGTTCGTTCTTGCGGGCCCACCATCCGACGAAGACCCCCTCGAGCCCAGCAAGTGGAATTTTTTCGGCCGTCTAGGAGGTCTGCCGGAGCACCAGTGGGCCATTGACGGCACAGTCATCTACCTGCACGGCTCCATGCTCTTCGTCTACTCAGGCTGGCCCCTCGGCACCGAAGCCGACGAGTCGCGCCAGGAAATCTTCATCATCGAAATGGTCTCCCCCACCGAATGCACCGGCCACCCCGTCCGCATCAGCACCCCGGACCTGCCGTTTGAATTCTCAGGCAACAGCGGTATCAACGAGGGTCCGCAGTTCCTGTCCTCGCCAGACGGGCGCTGGATGGGCATCGTGTATAGTTGCGCGGGCAGCTGGACGCACGAGTACAAGATGAACATCTTGTACTACACCGGTGGTCACCCGCTCGATCAGCACTCCTGGGCTAAATCAAACGTCCCGCTGCTCAAAGCCGCCCGCGACGACTCGCCCCCGTATGGACCTGGTCACGGCAACTTTGTCATGGTAAATGGACCCGGTGGGCCAGAGGTCTGGGGCGTCTTCCACGCTACGGACGCGAAGACGGGGTGGGAAGGACGGAAAGCGCGGGTTATGCGTGTGGGGTGGGGGAATGGGGGCCCATTTATGGGGTCAGGAGAGTGCGGGAGGTGTTGTAGTGAGATTCAGCACTTTATCCAGGGATGTCCCGGGGGCGAGTGTGGTGGTCAGGGTCATTGTGGGGGCGAGGGGGGCGCCGGTGGTGGGTATATGGAGCCAGGGAAGCAGGGAGCAGGACATTCCAAGGAGGATTTGAAGAGGGAGGTGAAGAATCTGGTTAAGGAGGGGAAGGGGTTGATTAGTAAGTTTTTGAAGTGAGGGACTTGGATTGGGGTTGGGGTGGGAAGAGGGAGTTGAAAGGGTGACTCGATGGTTACCCCCTGTGTTAGAGAATTGGCCTGGCACGAAGACATGTTCTCGGTTTAGAGTTTAGCAGATCGGGATTCGTATAAAGTAGATTTCCTCCCCACATGAAAGGCATGCGTTGAATCGCGTTTCGGCTTACGAGGGCTGAGTGAGATGGTGAGATATCAACGCCCAAGGGAAGCATGCTTACAGCACCCCAGGCCCGCAGGACCCATCTTTTCCCCATCTGCTTTTTTTTTTCAAAAAAATCGCTTGAATAGTTTTCTCTTCATTCTTGTAGGGAAGTGACGTGACGAGAAAAAAAACCAGATGTGGAAGCACAATTGGAGCTGGGCAGTCAAGAATTAACCAAGCTTTTCTCAATTGCCTGCGTGCTACCCGTTAAGGTAGAGCTAAGATGCATATGACGTACCTTGAAGAAATGCAAACGAGATGCTAGTTAATGCGTGAGCAATTTGCTTGTGAAAAGGGGTAAATGCATAGTGTCTCCTGATAAACCCCCTACGAACTCGCTGAAAGAAAAAGCCTAGTGATCCGACATCTCTTCCAGTTTGCCAGACTGACGTTTTAGCATTAAGCGTCTGCTAGAGGTATAGCTACGAAAAGACAAAAGCTGAAGCACAGTAGTGGGAATGTACACTCAACAAGACTAGTTTAAACATGACAGAGATAGAAAGGCTCTTGGCCAAAGACTTATATATCCCTGTACTAGTTTTCACACAACTATCTCTGCTTTTGGATTGTAACGCCTGTGCTTAATGCCCTGGCGCTTTGGACTCATTCGCACTTCCGTCTTACCTATCCTTGTACCCCATTGATGGATTGAGAGCCGTTGTCGAAGTACAACCGGGGATATTGACGTCTCAAGAGTGAGAACGTGAAAGAAGAAAAAGCGGAGAAACCGATTGAGGCATCTGCGCTGATGATTAGAAGAGGCCGGAAAAGCATTTCCATCCGCCTCATGAAGAGTTTCCCTTCAAGCCATTTTTTGTTTACAAACAATAAGCAGGAGGGGAAGACTGGAGACAGTAAGCCTAACACATGCAATTAATCAGTTGAAAGCAAATATACATCATGTAGTTGATTGAGGGGAAACTGGGGTTACTCGACAAACCTCGGTAAAGTCTCGCGTCTGTACATGGTACTTGGGGCAAAACTTCGGTTAAACCTGTGACCAAATTCCGGGGCAGAACCTTGATTGGACCCAGGGATCGACACGAGGTCAATCTTAGAATTGGAGCATGACGTGCATGCTCGCCAATTAGGGCAGTTCGTAAGTTCACATACCTAATTGAAGCTAGTGCCACCGTACCCAGTTGCTGGGCACGTACGTGAGCCTATTTCGACTGCCGGCCATTCGTGTTACTGTTTTCAACACCCTATTTCGTACTCTGTTCTTCAAAGTGTATTACGACCCAGTGAAGAATGATTTGTCTACTTTACACCTCAAGTCTTTCTAGCCATCTTGGTCAATCCGGACTTCCACGAAGCATGGTACTTGCAAAAGAGCGAGAGACTCTCACCTGGTAATTGCACCTCCCGCCTCAGGCACGGCCCCGGAATACCCACTACCGCGGAGTGGGGCCACACCCTTCCTCAGGGAGCCTGGCTACTTTACAACACTTGTGCATTTCGTTCCCAGGCTCAAGGACGATTGGCCTAACCTCATTGCCGATAAGACCGCCAATGCTGCAGTCCTGCTCATTACGCTAGGCTGCATTACCCGACTTCTCTTTTCATCTCTCTAAGCGCGCTCCAAATGCAACCGCCATATAACCTTACGTCCGAAAAGCAATAACTCAAGACATTAAGGAGCCGGCAGTTATGTTCAGCATTAGAAGCAGACGGCAGTTAAGCTCAGCATTAGAAGTGGTAGCTATGGTCGGACGAAATATGGTATAAATAACTTCGCAGCTGTCCCTACATCAATAGCCACAAATTGTGTGACGAACTCAGTTCGACCCAACTCTTTGCACTCCCCAAAACTCGCCATCAGTCAAGGCAAATCCCCCTTCCCATCTTTCAACAAAAATGCTTACCTCGACTATCTTGGCCACTTACGGCCTTCTCTCACTTGCACTTGCTGCCCCAGCGGTCAAGATCGAGGAGCGCCAGGCCGCCTGCCATAGCGTTCACGTCTTCCTTGCCCGTGGCACCAGCGAGCCTTATCCCGGCCGTCAGAGTTCTGTGGTGTCAGCCATCTGCAATGGCATCAGCAACTGCGGCTACGAGGATATCACTTACCCGGCCAGCATGAGCCCAACGTACTGTGCCTCGGTGTCAGCTGGAGTTACCAGCGGCACTTCCCAGATCACGGCTTATGCGAACCGTTGCCCGAATGCAAAATTGATTCTTACTGGGTACTCGCAGGTATGTGACTCCTTTTTTTATAGTCAGTAATAAGCAATCGGGAGGCTAGTTTTAACTTTGGAGAAACGGGCCACTGTGACCTAGCAAATTGGGCTGGCCTAGCAATTTTAGAATTCAATAAGGCGATGACCGTTACTGACTCTGATCTTTCCATCTAGGGTGCTCACGTCGTAGGCGATATCCTCGGCGGTGGCGGAGGTGACACGGGCTTGGGATGCTCCACCCCTGTTACCACCGGCCTGAACCCTTCCACCTCGCCCGGAAACAAGAGTGAGAGCTATCCGAAACCCCATTAATCACAAGAAAAAAAAAGTCAGCTAACGAAAAAAACTTTATTACGCAGTCCGCGCCGCGCTTCTTTGGGGTGACGTCCGCCACACGGCGAACCAATCATACAACTCTGCATCCGGTGCTGCCTTCAACGGCGTAAGTGGACCTATATAAGAGCTATTACGCGACCATAGCATATGAACATCCCCCCCCCCTGAATGGACATTTTACTGACATATATCCGTCCTAGATCAACCCCCGCACAGGTACCCAACTCACCTCGCTCAACCGCTTCTCCAACGTTCTCCGTGCCTGGTGCCTATCCGGCGACAACGTCTGTGCTGGAGGCCGCGACCCCACCGCGCACACTAGCTACTTCAACATTTTCTCTACCGAAGCAGGTGCTTGGGTCAAGACAAAGCTCTGAGCGGGGATCAACTTTCATCTCTTCGAATTGAGAGTTCCCTTGCCTTGGCGAAAGGCGTCGTCTCCTTCTTACACTCGCTATGGGGGTGGCGCAAGCAAGCGAGTACAAAAACTGTCGTTACCAGAATATTCAAGTCCAATTGAACGTGGTGGTAGATAGTTTTTCTCCAATCCATTTTTTATCAGAAAGACTTTTTTTGGGGGGCAGTTGTCTGTGTAGGCGGGATGTGTCGTGGGGTGGACAGGTATCGGGAGCTTCACAGTTGCTGTGAGGAAGATTGACGTCCATGCATATATTCCGCCCACAATATAACGTGGAGAATTACCTTGTTAAAAACATGTTCTAGCTGTGGGTTTCATCATCCCCGGTAGCAAGAATGGTAAGGTTTCTATGAAGAAGGTTATGCAATTACTAGTACTATTCATTGCTCTTATGCTAATAATACACCTTTTCTTTCTCGAATCTCATTCGTTTACCTACATATTTTTTTTTAGCTATACTCCTCAGTGCAATAAGCCCTATTTTCTGTCCATGATTCACACCACCCAGCCGTACGCTCATACTCTTAACCCGTCTTGCACGCTCGGTTCCATCTAGAGTTGAGCCGCCGTTGGGCAAATGCACATACGGATTGTTTCTCGTAAGCGATGAAACGAAACCGAAAATACCAGGCACAGATGTTTGTAGAGCTACAGCGATGTTGACGAGGCCTACGATAAACAGTGTGCCGGAGCATAGGATAAGAGTCAGAATCCACGGAAGACTTGCTTTGTAGATTGGGGCTTGGCGTGTGATACTCGCCAGGGCCTGCGTTAGGAGGAGCTCTGGGAAGGGTTCACGCGTTGCTAAATCCATCGACGATAGCGCAAACGGATCAGCTCGTGTCATTGTAGGCATCCAGCGGCTAGATTCCCAGTACGTATTTAAAACCTCGGTCAGACGCTGCGAGACGTGCTCGTCTGGTATGTCGCTCCAGTTGCGTGCTATCGATTGGGAAGAGACATATGATCCTAGGTACCCGGACCCGCTCATGTTGCCATAAATGTAGTTATTGATAGGATGTAATGAGTCATACGCCCGGATAGAGCCGCCCATGGCTGAAAAGGCGCTCAAAAGGGTTTCCAGAGTTCTAGCGTATTGTGTTATAGTCCAGGGCGGCCCTCACCATTGACATTGTATCCTTGGGTATCTGTGGGCGGATAAACTTGCTTGAGCTTTGGATTGAGGGGCCGTCGTAGCCGACTGGTCCGACATGCAGCCGAACTGCAAATAGTGTTGGCTTCAATCTCCATGTCATGGAGTGCGCACTTGTACAAAAACATGGTTCGTTCATTGTACCCATCTCTAGTACCATAGAACAAGTACCCAGTAGTTGCCCAGGTGGTGGATAGATTTTGAGGGCTGACGAGGAAGAAGCTACTCTGGTAGTACAATTGTCCGAAAATGGGATTGAGATAGGACACGTTGAAAAGTCGGTCGATCGTGTCAGTGTCTCTATTGAGCTGGATAGAGAGCTCGGAAAGCTTGTAAGGCCAGCCGGATGGCAATATTAGCGAGCCATTCAATCCTGAGCGAGGGATTTGACGGTCTAGGTATGCTTTGACCTCATCGCCACTGCCTCGTATTTGGGCTTTGCAGTCTGCATACATGTATTCGTAAACAACCGAAAAGTTTGCGACACTGTCAGCTTGCAGGCCTACTACGCTTAGACCGGTCAAAGACGTATATGCAGTTGTGTCCTCGCGAATATGGACCCATCTGTCTTGTAAATCATGGCCCAAGTCTGCTTGTTCCAATTGCCGAAGTCTCGTGATCTTGGCATGATTCCAAATGTCTACAGGGCTATTTTGGAGCGTGTCTGCAGTCAATATGCTAGTCGAGATGATGGCGCTCATTTGATTGAAGTAATGTGCAGATCCGACAGAAACTAGGGAGCTGTATGCCTCTGGGTCGGGATAGTACACGGGTCGTGATGTTACAATTGTGGAGTTGGCTTCGTGTAAGAGACGCAGTGAACTCTGACCACCAAGTGGTGAGAGAGACCATAGTAGAAGTATGGCGAAGGATAGTGCGCTCTACGATCGGAGGGATATAGCAAGATGGACGGCGCTGACGAAACTCTGGCTTCCATGTAAACTTTCAAGCACCTGCCGCATGCCAATAAATAGTATCACAGGTAATAGTGCTGTCACTCACTCCAATACTTGAGCCTTGCTGAGCCTTCCAAAGCGCAATATTCTTCAAGCTACGACCGCCAAGTGCAGCGAAGGCCAGAGGGAAAAGGGTAGGGCCAAGAAGCATGACACGCTGTAGTGTGACGCCATCCGGTGAGACGGGCTTCTCGTGGAAGGTGTACGCAATTGATGCCAAGGTTTAACGAAAATGAGCCTTGATTAGGAATTAAGAGTTACAAGCATGCAGACATACCCAGAAACATCGCCGGTAGTGCCAAGAAAGCTAGTTCGCCCCAGACGATGAGGTTGCTTCTCAGGAGCGGCTAGGGTTCTCTGGGCCACCCTGGTGGAGCGTTGTCATTCAGTAGATTCGATCCATCTTCCATGGACTGCACGCAGCTGTTAACAGGAAGAATAGAATAAGCTGTAGTGCTTGCGTTTTTGCCTTTCTCAGTTCGCGCTGTGTGTGACATGATGGCCATACGAAAGAGAGAGTCGTAACAAGTAGCAAGAATGATTCCTTTCCTAACTAGGGATAAGTGGTAAATGTTCAACACCTGTCCACATCAGAAGTTACTAATCATCGCGGGGCGACAATCACATGACCTGGTAACGAGCTTATGGGGAGGATTCAGCCACTTACGTAGCGAAATATGCAAGCTGACCGTGTTGTATTATCTCGTTTTGTACTTTCCTCCGAAGCAGACAGTGATCTGAACCAACCATGGCCTGCAGGGCACGCAGCCTGCTTCGTGTTTCTTCACCGGAGACGCGGAATATGGTCTTGGCCAACTGCCCCTACTTCTCAGCCTTACGCATTGAGTTATGCAGATGTGTTTGTCCTCGATTCTTTTTATTTAATGATTTTACTTCAGCAATACTCATTGCAAGGAGATATCAACATACCGAACTTTAGGCTGAATGTATCATCTAAGACCTCGACCTCATGGGGAAATGGTTGGAAGTGGATTACGATATTGCAAGTACTCAACCAGGCACCCTTCACTCTCGCTGTTACGTTATCTCTAACATAATTTCCCGCCAACACGGGTCTTGACACCATAGCCAATTGGTGAACCAAAAACCTAGGTCCGTCGCCTTGATAGCATCTGTGATGATGTACAGGAAAAGCCCAAGTAATGTCTCAGCAATCGAATTATTGGCGTAAATATGTGAAGCAAGGCGTGGAGTGTATTCGGCAAACGGGCTCTGTGCAGGTCTGCCAGTAGCTTTATGAATGCTGCCGGCGCCCAAAAGTATGATAATACCAGAAGCATCAATCTTGAATGGTGACTATTAGGAAATCGCACTGAGATGATTGAGACTCACAAAATAATATGTTTTTGGGGGTTGATACGCGTTGTGATGACGAGCTGCAGATAGGGCGTCGTGGAAAAAAAAAGGAGGACCACAACAGCAGTTAATATCGTTATCCAATAATAAATGGTGGAGTACGAAACGAACCCCACGAGCTAACTTGGAGCGGGCTTGCAGAATCGAAAGCCGCGGAATACCGCTGGTGGAATCCCGCTTAACTGCATTTTGGGAGAAAACGACAGGTATATAAATATGTAGTACAGCATGTCAGCTGCTCCTGAATATTCTCAACTCACAAGTGAAAGGGTAGCAGGCACTGCAACGAAACCGTCAGCAAGGTCTCTTCTGTTTATCTCTCCAATCATCTTATCACTTAATTCAGCATTGCAAAATGGCAGCCCAAGTCCACGGAACCTGCGACCCCCGCTTTACCAAAGTAAAGACGATCGCACAATCCTACCTCAATACTGGAGAAGAACTGGGGTTTTCCCTCTGTGTCAACGTCGACGGTACTGATGTGGTTGACCTCTGGGGCGGCTACGCTGACGCCGCGCGAACCAAGCCCTGGGAAAAAGACACAATCACATGCGTATGGTCAAGTTCAAAAATTGTCGCCGCCCTTGCCCTTCTCATCTGCATCGACCGCGGACTCGTGGACCCGAGCGAAAAGATATCAACGTACTGGCCCGAGTTTGCGGCAAACGGGAAGGAAGGGGTTTTGGTGCGGCATTTGCTAAGCCATGCGACGGGGCTGAGCGGCTGGCATGAAGACGTCACAGTTGAAGATGTGTGTGATTTGGAAAAGAGCACAAACCTGTTGGCCCAGCAGGCGCCATGGTGGGAGCCTGGCACTGCAAGTGGCTATCACGCCTACACCATGGGACACCTCATCACCGGCTTGATCCAAAGAGTCACGCATCTCCCCGTCGACGCATTCGTCAAACGCGAAATCACCACCCCGCTCGACGCGGACTTTCAATTTGGTGCGCAGGAAAAAGATTGGGACAGGGTGGCAGAAATCGTGCCACCGCCGCCAATCACGGATCTGGCCACTGTGGCCGCGGCAATGAAAGATCCAAACAGCATCGCCTTTAGGACGCTGCTGAAGAACCCCGGCTTGGACGCAACGGTAGCAGGCAAACAACTGTGGCGGAAATCCGTGCTACTGGCTTCAAACGGGTATTCTAATGCCCGCGCTCTCGTCCGAATCTTCTCTGCTTTGTCCCAGTCTGCGCCTGAGAACCCATCGTCGTTTTTGTCACAGAAGACTATGGAGCAAATTTTCACCACGCAACAGCACGGCACTGATCTTGTTCTCGGCATCCCGGTGCGTTTCGGCCTTGGTTTTGCACTGTCTGCTGCAGACACGATGAATGAGAATCTGCCAGAGGGCAGAGTCGCGAGTTGGGGTGGTTGGGGCGGTAGCCAGGGCATTGCGGATGTAGAGAGGAAGATTACGATTGGGTATGTAATGAACAAGATGGAGAACGCAGGCCTGGGACCAAACGAGGAGGGAGAAAAGAAGGGTATGGGAAACTACCGGATGAGGAAATTGGTTGCGGCGATTTATGAGGCGCTCGGTGTGCAGTAGGCTCTCATTGTCTAGATAGTGACTTGAGGAGATTGGCAATATTTTTAAATGAGAAACTTTGGATTAAGCACAGTTGCACAACGCTCTGCTCGCTCACAACTATGCTGTACTGCACTTCTCTTATTGTCTTTGTGAAGAAAAGACGTAGCGTGAAAACTGGAGTCCTTGCAATAGACAGCCACAAATAAAGAAATCGAGAATGATGGAATTGTGTAAGACTACATTCGCATTTACAACATGGAATGTTCCATTCTCTTCAAATCAAACTCAGATACCAGCAGCCTTCTGCAAACGTGCTTGCTCTACTCTACCGGAGAGAGCTCATTTGTGTTTCTGGTTATCGATAAGTCGCAGTATAGTATACCATGCTACCAAGTAGAACATCACCACTTTTTCGAAAAGTGGAATAGACCACGCCACGAGTAACCAGCGTTTTCTCACCAAACCCATTTCAGCTCGCAAATCGGCTGTGGCAAGGTCTGAACCGGTCCCCTAGTTGAGCTGGTGCATCTGGTCTGGAGACTTGCCACCGCCAGTATTCATCTCTGTGTCGTTGACCAAGCTGGAAGATAGTGCGTTTGTGGGAGAAGATGATGTGGCAAGTACGTGGCCGGGTAGTGGACTCGTTGAGTGATGTTCTGATGCTGGAACACTTGTCCTGCGATGACCAATCCTGAAGAGGGCATTTCGATACATTTCCTGGATCTTCAAATGAGTGAAGTCGTCGACAGGCAATGGCCAGTATTCCGTAGCGATGAGCCGACATAACTGCAGCTCCAGGGCCCCTCGACCATGTTCCGGTACATGATCGAGATAGGTGACAATGAATTGACCAATTGGTAAAAGCTTATGCTTTAGGATCTGAGCGTGGCTCTTAGCTCGGACGCGTGGGCTGTAGGGTGGCAGACTTTCGGGCGTCAATATTTTGAGCTTTTGCAAGTCCTCGCGCATGGGCGAAAGTATGGCATGTAGCGACTGCCTCTCGGTACTAGACATCCTCCTGTTGAGTGAATTATCGCCTGGTTCTGAAATTTGCATATAAGCCAGGGAAGACTCGAGGGCTAAGGTGCTCAACTGCAGGGACGCGAGGGCCGAGTGTCTGAAACCGACGTTGGGTGCAAGCGGAAGCGGCGGGTTATGAAGATTTGATAAGGCTGGTGGTGCATGTGGGGTGAAGAGGTGGTTCATGTCGCGATGGGGTTGATAGGCGCTAGAGTGGTCTTGCTTAAGTAAAGGCGTCGTGTCCATGACGGCTTCCCTGTTTCCCACCCCGAATCGTGTGCCGAAACCCCACCTTGTACCGACGTTGAACGTGTTCTGGAAGATTCGGGCAGCCAGACGGAAAAGGAGCGCGAATACAGCTGACGGTCTATGAACAAAATCGTTGAGACCCATATGCCTGTACTGTTGTGAGATGCTAGCAACCAAAGAGACACTGGTCGGGCGAAGAGATGGGTCAGGCAGAAGAGTGCTGGGGCCGGTAGAGGTGGGTCACTTTGCTCGTTGATGATGAGCGCGTTTGCTGTCAAAAGGCAATCAGGGAAACTTGAATGATTGTAGGAGAATGAAAGGGACTTGTGCAGATAGGAAGGCTAACAAAACGACAGATAGAGTGGTGTCGCATATAAAGGCCTGCTTGCAGCCAGGAACAAAGGATTGGAAAATATGCAAAGCAGTGGCAGCACGTAGGATCGAACGTGAAATGACAAGAGTGCAAATGAGATACGCCTACTCACTCATACGTGTTCACCGCCACTGCCAGCCTGTGCCCCTGGAATATGTCTTGTTGTATTCTCCTAGGGCCATGTCATTCGTTGGCTAGTCTCCTTCTCAACGCCCTTCTCTCCACCCGATCGGTATCAGCGCCGCCGCAACCTGTCCAACTCCGCGCTCCGTCGCAAGAAGATTGAATTGTGCAGCTGCATTCCTCGTGTCTTGAATTTCGAGTCGAATGCCTAGGCCGTTTAGATACTTGCGAACCGCAGGCGCAATAGGCGTAGTGTTCGGACCCGTTCCGATGATGAGGAGATCTGCCAAGGTATTGTTAGCTGAAACATGCTTTGGAAGAACTGAAAGACCATATTGACGCATACCAGGCTTAGGATATACCAGCTCCAACACACCCCATGCCTGCTCTGGCACCTCCCACTGTCTCTTGGCATTCAGCAGTCTGCCCGTCATTGCATCTTCGCCCGCACCTCCTTGCCCCACTGTGCCTTCTCTTCTTTGTTCATATAGCCACGGCCGCCATCGGAATGCCTCGCCGCCTACAAGTAAAATGCCGCTGCCGCTGATGCGCATTTGGTTGTTGAGTGCGAAGCCATCGCCTGTACATGCGTCGATGGAGGTGGCAGGAGCCGCTGTGTTGCGGAGCAAATCTAGAGCACTGAAGTCTGTCTGAGTGTCTTCATTGCTTTTCGGTCCTCGGTCGCGTGTCTTTGGGGCTCGGGACTGAACAGGGGCTCGGGATTGAACAAGTGCAGGGCGCGTTGTGTGCAGCCATTGTGCGTGGCATGGGCGTGTAAATGCCGACGGCCTCCGTCTTGCCACATCTAAACGGCATGGTGTTTGTATCGAGCGTCGTGAAAACACATGGATGCATCTGGATATGTTTGGTTCCATGTTGGAATATGCAATTGAGCTGGTGACGCTGTGTGCTGTTGCAAGTCAAAGTTTATGATTCGAGCGACAATCTATGCTGTCATCGTCTGCGGGGAGCTCGGACAGTTTTCTACTAGTCAAGCTAGCGCATTATCTGTCCTACCCTGACTCATGATCATCACTGATAGCAAGACTGAACCTCGTCCAAATCCATAGAGGCTAAAGATGAATCTCTTCTTGGTACCATACATGCTTATATAAACCCATTCTGTTGTGCTCCCTTTGACACTTCGCTGACCTCCTTCTATTGATGGTCTATCATCCATCGAACTCATTCCATGCACCAAGCTTATTCAATCTAACTCTCCCCTCATTCGAGGAAAGAAGACCAGTATGTTACTGCCCAGTAGCCAGATCTATCGCAATCACCTTAGCATCTCCTTGCTGTTTTAACTTTGAGGAATGATCTTACCCCGTAATAAACATACGACACGGAATCATCTTTCTCTTCATCACTCATAAGGTAGCCGCCCAATGTTCGAAGCCCAAGAATGGCAAAAGCGATACTGACAACCATGGGAGGTTGCCAGAAAACAATCAGGCCTGCTGTCCATGCCGCGATCATGACTGCAAGCGACCACCTGGCGAGGGGTTGAGAAAGCACCAATGGTATCGTCTTTCTGCCCATAACTACATCTGCTGACCGGTCACGGAAATCTTGGGCGTGTCCCTATCACGAAGAATATCAACTGAAGTCCCTTAACGCCCGCTGCTCAACGACTTACAGTGGTTGAGAAAATGAGCCCGAAAATGAGAATTGCCAAGGCTCTCTTGCTATGCAAACCCTCCCCGTTAGCTGGCGCACGTCAGCATAGTCTTGAATAAACAACCTACATAGGTTGCACGCTCACCAAAAGTGACTGTTGTTCCCCAACACATGCACATCAGGCCAAATGCCCCAATAACATTCTTCAAGCCGGAAAAAGCAGCAAGTCCACCTTCATTGTAAATCGTGATCGCGGCTGTATATGCAAAGGTGCAAACAAAAGTGTTGCAATGGAAAGCCGCGATCCACATGCATACCAACAGGCAGCGGTAAAGTATATGGGCGTCTTCCAACGAGATAAGACCAGAGGGCAGTGGGCGATGCGGCTTTGCAATGCGATCTTCTTCAAGACCGAGAATCTTTTTTTCACTGCATTAGTACCAGCTATGTGCCTTTGTGAAGTCTAGTCCAAATCACCTGGTTCTTGGTCTATGCGTATATCAGTATCATGTGGTTTTAGAGCCGAGGATGAACTTCGTGCACGTACTTCAAAAGCCAACAGATGCAGCTGGTTCCAGATTACTCCTTTGATGAATAAAGACACACTGGGCAACCCTGAAATCGCAAGTGCCACGACAACCTGTTCTCTGGTAAGTATCAATAGCCTACAATCTATCCAAAATCTTACTGTTGGTATGGAGACAGCAGGGATGTCAGATTTCTCAATGAGATATAATACTCTCGAAAGTTTCCCAGCGCGCTTGAGAAGCATTGAGACGTTTCTAGTGTACTGTGAAGACATTTTGAAAAGATACAGCAGTTATTTCGAAAAGGAAAACGTCCTGAACTTGAGTATTGGGGCATAATATTAAGATCGACTATGAAAGTCACCTGCAGGGCTGACACCTCACTGCTAACCGACGTTGGGTCATACAAAAACATCCCCTCTTCCAAGTATCTTCAGGAAGCTTGGCTAAGCACTAGTTTTACCAAAATAGCTCCCAAACTGCTCCATTGCCATCATCGATCGACGAGTGCGTAGTAGCCTTATCAGCAGTTGCATCCTGAATTCATTGATCAGAGGAAAAGGCTATGTTGGATTGTAAGCCTTATTTGCGGCCTTGATTTACCTTCCTGTTTAGTGTAAAACAGCAGAAGAATATGACGCTTTTCAAGACACGTTCTTGGCTACAGTCCATTTATTTGCCGAATGTCAGGATAAGACTGCAAATCTTGAAGATCATTAAGAACTTCTCTCTCATGGCTTCACGCTGCTTATCGTGAGGGTATATGGGGCCAGATATTTCTAATTGGACGGATAAAGACAATATTAAATTGGAATGCAAGCGTGGGTAGCCTGAAAGACTGAGGAGTCTCAGGCAAACCCTGAACAACGGCATATAGGGGGCTGTGCTATTTTTTTTCAATCAACTTCCCGTCCTCATGCTTGTCCTAGTGCGTATTATGGTCCAAGGCCACCCAAACCCCCAATCAAGCCGATACAGCGACCACAGGTGTCGAAGTTACGGGCTGTACTTCAATTTCTGCATACTTGATTCTCAACCCTTCGGTAGCCCGATCACCAAGTGCCATCGTGTTCTCAGCTCCAACCATCTGTAGCATGGTGATGTCGAAGCCAAATGTCGTCCTCCACCATCTCCGCATCTCTATGGCGACCAGGCTATCCAGACCAGCATCCTGCAACGGGCTCAATATATCAACCTCACTATCTTCCTTATCGTCCAGCGGTCGGAGAAGCATGAGCGCGATTTTTCTTGCGATTTGTCGCGCAAGGAAAGCTGAGGTATCGGGCTGGTCAAGAATCTTTGGCTCAGCGAGAACCTGCTTCATGAAGGCCCTAATGGCCTGGGTGGGCTTATCGACGTCAGAGGTCGCCCCTGAAGCTGCGTTCGAATCCGAGTCGAGGTTAGCGTAATATGCCATTCGCCGGTCGTCCTTCCACATTATGCGGTTTGCAGGATCAGACAATGGTAGCCCGCTACGTACACCAATACCCAACAGAGACGCACATTTCCGCGATGTTCCTTTCTCAGGCTTGGATCTAGGGGTGCTTAGAACGAGAGTGATGGCATCAAGGAGCTGTGGTATCCGGATGCCATATGCCCCAAGCAACTGCATCCGTTCCGCCAAGAGCGGATTCTCAGCAATATATCCGTGGTCATACATCATACCAATGTCGATAGCCGAAGCGTTCAGACCCAGGGAATGTCGATAAAGCACAAAGGTGTCGAGGAACGTGTTCGCTGCTGCATAGTTTGCTTGGCCAAAGTTGCCAAACAAACCTGAGACCGAGCTGAAGAGAAGGAAGAAGTCGAGACTTATCTCTCTAGACATGCACACGTTGTGCATATTCCATGTACCTTTGATCTTCGACTCGTTGACAGTGCTCCATGCCTCATAGGTCATTTGGTTGAAACCCATATCTTGTAATTGCATGCAAATGTTCATCACGCCACGCACAGGGGCAGTTGCAGCAGCAATAGCCTTCTCCACGTCCTTGACAACAGAAACACTCCCTTTTACTGCCATCACTTTGCACCCTTGGTATTCAAGTTCTTCGAAAAATGCTTTGTCGGTCTCCTTCTCGCCTGCATTTCGAGAAAGAAAAATCAGGTGTCGTGCGCCGTTCTCGACCATCCAATTGGCTACGATACGGCCCAAGCCACCTAGGCCGCCAGCAAGCAAATAAGATGCTTGTGGATTGAAGGTGGGATTGCGCTTGGGATGTGCCGTGATCAAGTCTTTTGATCTGGTTGCTTCGTCCGCGGAATCACCGACACGTAGAATAATCTTGCCAATATGTCGCCCTTGTTGCATGTACCTGAAGCATTGCTCTACCTCAGATACTTTGAAGGTTTTCGCGGGAGAGATTGGCTTTATGTGGCCTGCTTCGTAAAGGGTCATCATTCTCCCCAAAAGCCTTCGACACTCTGCGGGTCGACGTTCGATAAGATGAGCTAGATCGATGCCATGGAAGCTACGATTTAGAACAAACGGGTGCAGAGAGACGCGGCCGTTTCCTAGCAAATCTCTCTTCCCAATTTCAATCATTTTGCCAAACTCCGCTACGCATTCCCAGGACGCATGTAGTAGCTCACCAGAAAGAGAGTTGAGCACAAGGTCTACTCCAGCACCATTGGTAGCGCGCATGACATCATCCACGAATGATCTGTTCCGGGAGTTGAAGATATGAGCACGTGGGATCTTGAACTCATCCTCCAAGAACTGGACCTTCTCTTCGTTACTGACTGTGCAGTATATCGTTGCTCCGGCCATGTGACATAGTTGAATGGCGGCAAGGCCAACTCCACCACATGCAGAGTGAATTAGAACAGTGTGTCCACTGTGCATTTGACCAAACTCCAACAGTCCATGTATGACCGTCATGAAAACACATGGCATGGTTGCGGCCTCTTCAAAAGAAAGAGAGTGGGGTAGTTTCCAGCAACTGGTGCTAGGTACGACCGCGGCTGTCCTGAATAAACTTGTGCCACCGACAACCACGACACGATCCCCTGGCTGGAGATTCTCGACCCCTGATCCAACGTCTCGGACCATCCCTGCTGCTTCCAATCCGAGGACTTGGCGCGGTGCTTCGATAAGATCCATAGCGGTCAGCAAATCCTGCAGCGGTTAGCTATACGCCCGACCCTTGGGACTACGTGTAAATATTTGTGAGACTTACCCTAAAGTTGAGCCCTGTAGCCATTATTTCAATTGCAACCTCATTTTCTCCCGGTCTTTCGTAAGAGCAAGTGGTCCATTGGAGCGTATCAAGCCTGCCTACTGTTCCCAGTGTTAGGTTGAGTTCGCCATTGTCTGTTTGAGGGAGAGTAGTCGCAGAACTGTCAGGCTTGCAAAGCTCTGAATCAACGTTCAAGGGATACAATCGCGGTATGTATATATTTCCATCCTCAATAGCGTACTCTAGCTCCAACTTGTGGCTTGATGTGTGGCGACGAGAGAACCTTTCTGAGATCTGGGCCACAGCTTTCAAACTCAGACTTGTCAGCCGGTCAAGCTCGCAGATTGCCAAGTCGATCCCCATATCTTTCTGAATGGTGCGCATAGCTCCAGGTGTTTGACCCCATCGAGGGTGCTCGCAACTGAGCTGGGAGCTTCGAGTTAGCCAGAGTATGCCATTCTTCGACTCTGCGACTTGGGCCATCCAGTGCCGAAACTTATCGAAACGAGAAGCTTCAATATCGAAGAAAAAAGGCTTGTTTATATCGAGTAAACATATGATGTTCCTCTTTGCTACAACTGATTCGGCCGAATCCCAGTGCTGGAGTACTGTTTCGAAACAACCATGTTGTGATAGCTCATTCTTCAAATCTTCGACCACTTGTTGTGAGGCATCATCGTATAGTAGCGTGACAGGTTTTGGAAGTGCGTCTTTGATCGCAGGGTAGGCTATCATGAATGCATTGCCCTGGTGTGGACGGGGAGCATCTAGCATGCAATCAGCTACTCCAGTGAAGCCTGCAGCGCGAAGATCACCATCCCATCTTTCAGGATGGACATATGGCTCATCAACACGCCCATCTTGTTCACCCACCCACCATCCAGGAAGGAGGCCCATGATGAAGTTTGTGACTTGTACATCTGAGCAAAGCTCTTCAAGGTAGAATGTGCCATCATGCCTTAACAGACTATGCACATTACGCAGAGCTTGCTGGAGGTTAGGAACAGCGTGCATCACGTTTGTGGCGATAATGAGGTCGTAATCATGGCCTTCGAAGCCTTGAGCCACGGGGTCCTTTGTGATGTCCAGAACCTTGTATTCGAGGGTATGTTCTTTGAAACTTTCCTTGGCAGCACCGAAGAATCCGGCAGAGATGTCCGTATATGTGTAACTGGACCATAGTTTGCCCCCATCCGAATCATTGACCAAGTTTGAAAGAAACTCGTGAGTTGTTCCTCCTGCTCCAGCCCCAATCTCAAGAATACGCATGTTCGGTTTCTGATGTCCAAGAAGCTTGATATATGGCCCTCGGTCAGTCACTTTTGCTTCCTGATAAATCTTGAGCAACATGTCGTCAACCATGAGGAGCTCTGTTGCAGAAACCTCCCCCAACACCAATTTGATAATGTTTTCGCTGATTTTCACAATTGCGTCCACAGTCGAAGGGCACGAAAAGGTTTTGACTTCAGATGTGACAGTTTCCATAGGTCGCAATGTATCTGGAATGCTTTGTCTCTTCATCCAATTCACATATCTTTCCATCGTATCCGACGCTGGTTTGATGGATTGAATTTGCTCCAAGGCTTTCCGGATATGGAGCAAAGCGAACTCTTGCATAAGTGGTGTTTGTTTGGCCAACGCTGTGGCATTCTTCAAAATGGATGACATAGTTGTAAAGCTGGGCTCTAGACTCCAGGTTGTTGAAGCACCGGCGTGGAGATCTATCTCAAGTGCCGTGTCCAGAGGCATGAGCTTGATCTGATCTATACTGATTGCAAGGGCTCCGTCTTGGCCAATAGCACAACCCCAACCATGGAATTTACCATGTGCTAAGACTTTTGCTGAGGTATGCACTTGAAGATCACCAGAGCTTTCATAGATGTCCATGCGTTTGATGAATGTTGGCACACTCATTCGGTCGGTTGCATGTCCTTGCCCATTGCATGCAGCTGCAGCCATTGTCTGGAAAAACACATCAATTGTTGTCGGATGTATCAGATAGTGCGATTCAGAACCATCTGGCGTCTTATCACATATTGTAGCCTTGGCACTGCTCTTGTTTGGCGTACATTCGATGTTCTTCAATCCTTGAAAGCAGGGCCCATATCTAGCCCCGAGATGCCACATGGCCTGATACCATTTTTTTGCGTCAGTTCTTCGAGGAAAAGCAGTTTCGGGTACTGCTGGGGGAGGGGGCGAGGAATAGATTGCCTCGACGCAACCTGAGCAGTGTGTTGTCCATGTAGTGCCTGAAAATGATGAAATCATGAACTCCCATCCGCTGCTCTCCAAATGGTCCGTGATTCGCCATCGTCTTAAGGATGTCACTATCTCCACCGGCTTATTTTCTTGCAGGATCAGCGCCGCGCCAATGACCATGTTCTTTACACTGAATCCGAAAAAGGTGTGATCCTGGTCAGGTAAGCATTGTCTCCGGCAAGCCTCCCCAGCCATGGTGACGTATGCAGCACCTGGAAAGACTACATCGCCATCAATGTTATGGTCTCGTATCCAAGGAGCATTTTCGAGCTGAAGTAGGTTTCGAAAGCTAGGTTGATCGTCGTTATTTTCCAATACGAGCGATCCCAAAAGTTCGTGATGTGGGAACTTGGGATATCGCCAAGCTTGGGCGATGCGGTTTTGAATAATATGTGATTTGCCATGATACCAAGGATATGTTGGCATATCTGGGAGTACCTTTGCAATACCAAGCGGGTTCGTCAGGCGGTAGAGATCGAAGTTCAAACCATGCTGCCAAAGCGTACCCAAAGCCGCGAGGTATGTCGCATTTGCATTCTTTTCTCTGTGGAGACATGATGCGTACGGATGAGCAACAGAATTTTGTGTAAATATTTGTCGAAGAGGTCCTGAAAGTGTGCTGTGAGGTCCCACCTCGAGGAAACAAAGGTTACGGTGTGCAGAATCTTTGGACCCAGTCAAGAGGCTATCGAGAGCCTGGAGGAAAAGGACAGGTGATTCGAGATTGCGACGGAAATACTGCGCATCAATGCGCTCGGAATCTGGTAACAATAGGCCGGTTACAGTTGAGAAGAAACCTGGGTTTGTAGAAGCACCGTTGTAGGGAACTTCACCTTCCAGAAATGATGCTACCATTTCCTCATATTCATTCCCAGCATTGAGCATATGATGTGAGTGGTAGGCAGTGCTCACCTTCAACATGCGTACAAACACTTCGGTGTTGCTGGTTTGGATAGCCTGTACAACGTTTCGTACAACTGCCTCGTCACCCGAAATGGTGACGTTTGAAGGTGAGTTGTTGCATGCAATGACAACGCCCTCTTGGAGAAATGGAGTCACCTCATCCCAGCTGAGACCGATCGCAGCCATTGCACCACTTCTAGTTGCAGCTTGTGATACAAGGCCCCGATAATAAGCAAGGACTATGGCCGCGCGACGTGATATCCGGTTTGCTGCATATGCTGCAGCTATCTCTCCCGATGAATGGCCGAGCACAGAGTGTGGTTTGATCGCTAGATTGGCTAGGGCATCGACGAGAGCTACTTGAACCGCTGTACACAACGGCTGAGAAATAGCTGCTTCGTTCAAGTTACTGGAGTCTGCCCCTTTAGCCAGTTCTTCTTCGATACTCCAGGTAGGTGGCGTTGGCAGTCCTCTAAGCTCCTGGTCCATTTCTTTGATAGAAGAGGCAAATGTAGTGTTAGACTGTAAAAGTTCAATACCCATACGCGGCCATTGTGCGCCCTGCCCAGTGAAGATCATAACCAGCCGCAGTGGTGAGACTCCCGCAATAGATACGCCAGCCTGTGAGTCGACGGACAGTTCTTGAATAACGGAAAAGGCGCGATGAGAGAAATGCTCGCGTCTGCAAGCTAGTGTATAGGAACCGTGCTCAGCTTTCGTTGGATTGGACAATGCATAGTCCCGAAGGTTCCGTGTTTGCATCTCTAATGATTCCGATGTGCTTGCTGTAATGAGGAACAACTTGCCCCACTTTAGAGACTCGAGAAACGATTCCTCTCGCTCAGGGTCGGCTATTATGTCTGAGTTTACACCATACGACGCGGCAGAGTCGAGGATAAAATGAGCATTAGCACCACCAATCCCAAAATTATTCACAGAAACCCTCTCCAGTTTGTCTTTGGGCCAGCCAAGACAATCGGTGGGAACCTTGAGATCCTTCTCAAGGAAAGGTATCTTCGGGTTTGGAGTTTCGAACTTGATGTTTGGTGGTATAACACGGTTTTCCAAAGCTAGCACCGCCTTAATGATAGAGGTAATCCCCGATGCACCCTCAGAATGGCCAACATTCGGCTTGACGGACCCAATGTACACCCCGCCATTTCCAAAAACGTTACCCACTGCTGTAGCCTCGATAGGATCACCCGTGGCGGTGCCCGTTGCATGACATTCAACAAATGCTGTTCGAATAATTTCAGATTCTGGTATCCCAGCATTCTGATATGCTCTTCGAATCAGGGCCGCTTGACTGGAGGAGCTGGGCATGCTCGGCCCCGGGGTTTTTCCATCTGCATTGAGAGAAGACCCACGAATGATAGCACGGATAGGATTCCCATGTTTGATAGCAGCACTTAGCGGCTTGATGTAAATCAAATTAACAGCTTCCGCGCGAGCGTATCCATCTGCATCTGCATCGAAAGATCGACAAGACGCGTTGGGTGAGGTAACGCCTTGTTCGGACATATCAGCCATGGTGTCGGGACTCCAGAACAGATTGCTGCCGCCCACTAGAGCGGCACTGCAGTCTCCATTTCGAATCGCGAGGCAGGCTTCATGTAAGCCCATAAGTGATGCGGAGCATGCCGTCCGTATAGTCATACTCGGGCCCCTAAGATCGTACTCGTATGATAACCGATTTGAAAGCAAAAAGTCGCTGTACCCAGAGACTTTGTACATGTTCTTGTCCAAACGGTCCTTCGCAGCCATCTCTAACCAGTCATTGCCAAATGACCCGACATACGTCCCAATGTCTTTTCCGCGCCAGTCCGTCTCGCCAGCGCTTTCGAAGCACTCCCTCGCAAGTTCGAGAAGGATTTTTGCCTGGGGATCCATACGCTCCGATTCTTGCTGCGACATGCGGAACAACGAAGTGTCGAGCGCACCAACTTCAGCGCTATCATCCAGATAGTAGCCATTTTTGGAGTTGAAGTAGCCTGATTTTCCAGAAGCAGAATAAAAGGCTTCGGCGTCGAAGCGTGCGAAAGGAATGGGCGCACGAGCGTCCTTCTTTTCGGTGAGAAATGTCCAGAACTGGGCCGGTGTTTTTAGCGCGCCCGGCAAGCGAAGAGCCATGCCACAAATGGCAATTGGGTCTGGTTGTTGGTCCATTTTATTGACCTGACGCATGAACAGTTCTTGATGAAATTTGACAATCGAACATGCTCTGAGATCAGAACGATGGCCGGAAGCAAGCCAGGTCAAATACATCATCACCGCGACTGCTGTCTCAATGCAAACCTATCCGCCATTGCCATGCACGGGCCTATCTTTGCAACTGCATACTATTGTACTTTTTCTGGCAGTAGCGTGTCTGTCAACGAACATCAAGTTGGACGTCAAGCTGCGACAAAAGAAACAAAGAATTGAAATCAACAAAAGGCTGCATCGGGCTCGGGTATCAGGACACCCAACGGTCGATCTAAGAACATCGTTACCCGTAAAACCCTGTGTCCCCAAGGAACAGTCGCACTACTGGCGTGACTACAAGAGTACTAAGTATTCCAGCCTTGAGTGTTTTGACGAGTTCAGATTCGTTCGATATCCCTTTGTCCAATCGAGTTTCATGCTAACAGAAAATGAAGAAACAGCTCACCGGTTAGTAGCAAGAACCCCCTGGAAGTCTTCTTTTTCAAATCCCTGTCTGTGCGTACAGATGCTGACCTGACACCCCATCGCACCGGTGTTGCGTCTGGTCTGAAGCCGTGCCCAGGTCTAGCGGTGAGAATCATGGGCTTCTATCTGGCTTCTATCTGGCACTTGCGATCCAAACTAGCAAGCAACACTGTGATCAAAGATCCCAACTCAGTATTATCTGTGCGCACCTCAATGTAACCCCCTCCCAATCCAGCCGAATGGACGGCCGGTGAGAGAATGTTGAGAAACATGATTGTTTTCTTTACCGCCTGTTAGTGCTACGCCCTTCGCTTAATCGGTGACCAACCAGCCTGAGAAGCATGTGCTAGTACAGATGTTGCCATGTGGTTTACAAGTATACGTATGGTAGCTGAATAATAATTGTCTCAGATCACGATCCACATATCGCAAACCGGATAGTGACAAAGGGAAAGGGACTCTTTGCTTTCGGCATCTGGAATGGAACAGCCAAGGACTAAACTCGCCCGACTTTCTCGTTCGACTCCGGCAATCCAAACTCCTTCGAGAATACGCATTCTGATCTTTTGTGCACTGGGAAAACTTGGCAAAACAACCCGATAAGAAGAAATATCGATCAAATACCTTCGGGGACCTCATCTGTTGAATGACTGGCAGAACTTCAATTACCGCAGCTGAGCAATTAAGCTTTGACATAATCCAGACCCAGAGATTCGAGTAGTAGGCACATTCATGGCAACAAAATGTCCCCATGTAAAAGGGAATTGTGCTGCCTCTAGTCTCGGGAAAGACATGCTCCAACAAGAATAACATGGAGAAAACATCTGCGACTCAAGAGGCGATACAGAAGTTCTCGATAATCGAGCCTAGAAAAGATGACGCGCGTGATAGACGGTATTTGATCGCTGCATTCGGCAGTCTCTGCATCATCATGCTGATGGTTGCTCTCGACGCTACATCGCTCGCAGTCGCATTGCCCGTAAGCCTTACCACACACACACACACACACACACACATTCCAAAACCGTCACTTTCCCCTCAGACTCTATCTCCACGAGAAACTAACGAAAGAGAAAAAAAAAAAGGTCATCACAAAAGCCCTCGCAGGATCCGCCGTAGAAGCTTTCTGGAGCGGCACCTCGTTTCTCCTCGCCTCGACCGTCTTCCAGCCCATCCTCGGCTCCTTCTCCAGCGTCTTTGGCAGAAAACCGATCATCAACGTTAGCCTCGCGCTTTTCCTCGTCGGCTCCATTGTCATTGCCGTTGCGACGAGTTTCACGATCATGCTCCTGGGAAGAACGATTCAAGGTGCGGGCGGAGGCGGGATTCTGTGCCTAACGGCTTTGATCATCGTGGATAAGATTCCGCTGAAGGAGCGCGGGAAGTGGTTTAGCTCGCTGGGGGCTATGTGGTCGCTTGGGACTGTTACGGGGCCTTTGCTCGGTAGGTTGGTCAATCCCATAAATGAACCTAGTAGTACCGTTAACATGTGGAAAAATTGCAGGCGGAGGCTTGGCTAAGGAGACTTTGTGGCGCTGGATTTTCTGGATCAATGTTCCACTCGTCGGTGTTGGCGGGATATGCATTGCGATTTTCTTGAAATTCGACAAGACCAATGTTGCGCTTGTGGCAAAGATGAAGGAGTTGGACTGGGTCGGAATGAGTCTCTTCCTTACATCGGCAACAGGATTCCTTATCCCCATCACCCGCGGTGGTGTCGAGTGCCCCTGGGACTCATGGCGTACGCTTGTGCCACTCTGCATCTGCATTGCTGGACTAGTCGTGTTTGCCTTGCACCAGGAGTACGTGGCCAAAAACCCATTCATTCCCATTGCCATTTTCAAAAACCGGTCTGCGGCAATCATTTACGTGCAGACTACCCTGTATGGAATCATTCTCTCAATGGGCATGTTTTACCTTCCACTCTATTTCGAGGCTGCAAAGGACATGTCGCCTGTCATGGCCGGTGTTGGTATGTTTCCATGGACCTTCACGCTATCGCCAAGTGCAATGGTATGTCCATCAATTCGTTATACATCCATGCACACATTTTGATAATGACATACATAGATTGTTGGAATCGCGATATCGAAGACGGGAGCATACCGATGGGCAAACTGGCTGGGTTGGTGTCTCGTGGTGCTCAGCACGAGTCTCCTCGTACTGCTCGAATCCGATACACCAACGACCGTATGGGTATCTATAAGTCTCGTTGGTGGTATTGGACTTGGAGGACTCTATCCGGCCATGATTCTTGGTGTCCAGGCCTCTACAACTGTCGAAAACCAAGCCTCTGCAACGAACATGTTCACGTTCTTCAGAGCTCTTGGCCAAACCCTCGGTGTTGCAGTTGGCGGAGTGGTGTTCCAGAATATGATTGAGAAGAGAATGCTATCAAAGCCGCTCTTGGCTAGGAAAGCCAGGGAATACTCCAAAGATGCAATAGGCTTGGTGCAGATCATCAAAGCTATGCCGGAGAATGCTGCAAAGGAGCAACTGATCGAGAGCTTCACTTACGCACTCAGGTATATCTGGGTCGTAGCGGCAGCGATTGCAGCGATTGCACTACTCGCGAGCATTTTCATCGAGGCGTATCAGTTGAGCAACCCACTCGATGCGGACGAGACCACTGAAGGAGATAAAAATTAGAGTTCGCGGAAAGTAGTGAAGGCGAAACGTTTGAATAACCTAATCATGAATTTGGAAAAGTTGACATGTGGTTTGCACAGTTCACGAAGCAGCACCGCCTTCATGCTACACTAACCGTAATCGTGATCAGCAGGACACTATCCAAACATTTTGAATCAGATCCATGACGGTAAATCAAATTGGCGCCATTCTTAAGTGATGCAATTAATTCTTCGTAGCCTAAAAAGGGGTATCATACAATGTTGCAAGCGTCCCAAGAATATGTGCGACAACAACAACTACGGTAAGAGCTTGGGCTCAAGCTCATGACGTGCGCGGTACTTAGCCAAGGGTATGGGAACATCGACGCTATAACCCAGTTCGCCTTGTACCTTTTCCATCTTCCTGGTCACCTTACCGACCAGCCGAGCAATCCAACGATCATTGGCCATTGCATGAACGGTGGTTTGTCCGGCTTTACGCATGCCTACCATTGTTTTGTTCGACGCTTCTTTGAAACCTGTATCTACCTTTTTAAGAAACGCCTTGAAGCTGTTGTCTTCAGTTCCGTTGATGGTCGTCTGTGTGCCCTCAGTGTTGTTGGTAGTAACGGATGCTACACTGCTCGCCGAGCTGTCGGACAGGTTGGTGCTGACACGCTTGAGCTCCCGTAGAACCTTGGCTTCCTCAAAATCTTTATCCGACTCAATTACCTTTGTGGCCTTGACAATGGCGGCAACAAAGTTCAATAGATCTTGATGAAATTGAGCTGGTAAGTGTGCATGTGCACTGACATGCATAGCCGCTTCATCCCTTTTAAGACGTTTGAGCTCTTTTCGAGCTAGCGCCTGTTTTGGAGTAGGCTCAGCTTCATTGATGGCGGACTCTATCTCGAGTAACTCAAAGTCGCTTGCTTTCTCTGGGAAGATGTGTTCATGGTGAGGAAACAAGAAGGTGGGTATTGTGAGGGTCGCATTTGCGCCTCCCAATCGGACGACCTGTTTCAGCTCGACAGCATCTGGGAGAATTCTGTAGGCGAGAACATCCGAGATTTTGAATTTTGTTTGAATGTTGTAGTTTGTATTGATGGGGAACTGCGCCTCGCTCTGAATTGGACCCAGTTCAACAGCAAAGTTGGCATTCGCGCACCAGGAAGATATCCGAGCCTCAAGTCTACGAATCTCGGCATCCTGCGACGAGTAATGCTTGAAGAAATACTGCTTCATGAGTGCGGTGAACCATTTTCCCGATCCGGCAGCTGTGACGGACTTGAACTTGACCGGGTGGAAGTAGCAAATGGGGCTGAGCATTAATCGGTATAGCAACGGCAGTCGATGCAGGAATTTTTTCACGTTGGGATACGATGTCTTGCGAAGTGTGGATACCCTTATCGACTTGGAGGGTGGATGGGGGATAGACGCCTGGCCATGAATCTGGGCGCAAATGGCGGCACGAAAGTCGTCCATGTTTTCGATATCGAGACGCACACCTGGCTCCTCCCTCGCTTTCCGGCCTCGCTTTCCTTCTTTTTCCTCACTTTCCTCATCGAGTTTACTATCTTTCCGTGCCTTTGAAGCCTGGATCAACTGTTTCTTTGCGATGGTTATGGCACTAGTTTCGTCGATGTAGCGTATCAGCTCCTTGTACTTTGTATGTGCTTGCTCTTCGTCTGGGGCTATTTTTTTGACGGACGAGAAGGCAGATGCGGTGTCTTGAGCCTCGGTTGGGACTTTTCCGGCTGTTAGGCTTCGCATCATGTCAGTCGGGTGACCGGTGATGCCGCCCTTTTGCGTTGCCGCTCGAAGGATAGCCGTGTTTGTTACGACGACCGAGTCGTCGTCGTCTGGCTCTGGAACGCCATACGTGACATCGCCAAAGGTAACTTCCCATTCCCCGCCTCTGACGTTCGCATACACGTCATCGACCGTGATTTCGCGGAACAAGGGCACAACCACTTTATCCACCTGTATGCCCAGCTCAACATCATCAGAGAGTTTGATTCCAGCTTCCACGCCGTGGGCAACAAGCGTCATTGTCGAGAGCGACAGCGTAACGCCGCGAATGACGAAGAGACCTTTGACCTCGGTATCAATCTCCAGCGCTGGCAAGTCAAAAAAGGCTATCTGGTCGTTGATGAAATGGAGATCACGCAAGAATGTTTTGCGTAGACTACGTCGTGCAAGGGCGGCAGCGGCGTCGAACTGGTAGAGACAGGTGATGAGAAGGGTTGGCCAGCAACAGGTGAAGAAGACCCAGTAAAGGAGCCATGATGTTGCGCATACTGCGTAGGCCAGGTTAACGGTAGCGAAGATGGTCCACACAGGGGCAAAGGGGAAGATGCGGTGTCCATATGCTTCACCCAGCAGGATGGCATACACAAAGGTGGGCGCTCCCGAAATGACCCATCGTAAGGGCCAGGAAAGTGCCAGTGTAGCCAAAGCGGTAGCGACAAGAAAGACATTAGGGATGAGTTTGCTGGTAAGCTCGCGCTCCGATGTCGTAGATGGTAGAGGATCTGCGAGCGGAGCGACTGGTTTGCGCTTTGGCATGGCTGGCAGCTCGCGCGGTGCGCGCGAACCCATATTTGCGGCGCCGTAGAGTATGAAAGTTGCAGGTGGACTAGGAGAGAGAAAAGCACATGGTGTTTGTGCTACTTGGCTCGCTGTGAGTAGAGTAGAGTAGAGTACAGCACAGTGCATGTGTGCAGGTTCCGCCATTTGCACGCGACTGAACATGCAGGGTTTCTTTGACAACCGCCTGACGTCATCAGGCGTTCCCCACACTCACACTCAAACAAGCCATGCGCATCTGTCCAAATGAACGGGTGGAGCAAGAAAAAAACGACAAGAACTATGATTGTGATGGGTGGCCGAAATAGCATTGGTACATACTTGGTACATATGGTTAGCCACCGCCCTGTACTTGGACCATGTCAGCCCAGTTGACAAGGCTTCCCTGCGCCGGTGATGATGCACGCCCCGCACTTTTGTATAACATACTTGTACTACCACTACCGCTATGGTCCGATCCACAATCTGGGGAGCGTCGCATCACGTCATCACAGCATGCGCGCCGACATTCAAGGGAAACGCCGTTCTCGTGGCCCTGATGAAGACTGTGGGCCTCGTCTTGATGTGCCTGTTGCTGCGTGATGGTGTTTGCTTATCGCTTCGACAATGGGCACATACTTCTTCCCGACACCCTAAACCCCATTGGCCACCAACCTCTCCGCAGTCTCATCGACCCATTCTTCGAATTACAGGTACCTGATCTTTGAATGGGACAGCACATGGTACTAAGCATTCGAGCTAGGCTTTCGACTACGTACGGCTGGTGTGATACACGATATCGTTTGTGTGCCAAGTTCCGTTTTCTGAACATGCAAAATCAAAGCACGTGCCCAGTGAAAAAGAAGTCGTGTAGACAGTGTTGCATGGGACCGAAGAACAATGGCTTGCGAAGAAGGGCCGAATCCGGACCAGTCTGAGTTAATGGACAGATGGCTATGGTTCATAGCTGGAGGGATCTAAGCAAAACACCGCTAGAGCATTCGGAGGCTACAGTGACAGTGACATGGTGGTGAGTGATGCATATGGACTTTACAATCAATCCATAGCTATCACAGGCATGACAAAGGCTTAGATCATCTTCGAATTCCGAGGTGTTTATTGAAAAAGAACATATACAGTTAACGTAGGGGGCCTGAGTGGACCAGGGTGGTTATCTTGACGGGTATAAAACGACAACAACATGCCCCGCGCACAAGGCGAATACACACGTACTGTACCTGGACGACTAACCGACAGTGTACCAGAACGCAATGAGTCGTGCTAATGTCGATAGAGTGCGGTGGGCTGAACTGGTTGAGCAGCATCTAGCACACGCCTTGACTGCGAGCGAGTCATACACCGAGGCAGATATCGCAGGCCACGTGGACTTCTTCAGACATCATGTTTGCGGCTGGCTAGGCCCGGGACCAGCACCATCGCTGCCTCTGCGTCCTGCGTGTCCATCGGCGCTGACGTTCGACGCAACTCCGGTCGAGGTGAGCTACGGGTGGAAGGGCACGTCGTCAGTCATGGTCCGTTACGTGGTTGACTTGATCGGGCGCCAAGGAAATCCCAATCGTGCGGCTTCGCTCATGACAGCACAAAAGACAATAGATGGGTTGCGTAAACATGAGAGCAGATTGGGGCCCGGTGGATACCGTATCGACGTGCTGCCGGATATATGGGAGGCTGTGACGGCGCGGCTGGCCCACTGGGAGAAGACGGACCACACGGGTGGATGCAAAGTGTGCACACCCTCGACGACTTTTGTCGGCTTCGATCTGGCGACATCAGGCCGGGTGCACGGCAAGCTGTACTGGCGGCTTCCAGCATGTTTGTTTGGCCAAAAGCTCCTCGAGTTGTTGGACGACGTCTTCGCTCTACTGCCACGCTACGGCGTAGACGTTGACGGCCAATGGGCTCAGCTGCGACGCCATCTGGCCTTGCACCCCACCAGCGAGGGAGGCAGCCAAGGTGTGCGACCGCGCATGCTGTCGATTGATGCTACACGGTATCCTGCGGCGCGCATCAAGTTGTACAGCCGTTGTTACTTTGACTCGCACGCTTCCTTTGCCGACGCCGTTGAGCCACACCTTAGCCTGGACGGGGCGGTGCCGCTGCCACTCCCCTGTCACTACGCCACGCTGTGGGCCCGCCTCCAGGCACAGTACCAGCACCAGCCCCAGCACCAGCGCTACTGCTTGCTTGCTCACGATATGCTCCCCGGCACTACCCTCACCACCAAGCTGTACTGGTTTGCCGACCAGATGCCCGCCGGCGATGCCCTCATCATCAACGACTTGGTCGCCGACTTTGCCCCGCCCCACGCCTTCATGAAGCGCCAGCTCGACGCCGGTCACTTTTGGCACAACTCGGCCTACATTCGAGAGATTGGCATGGGCCAGCGCAAAGATGGTGCGTATGACATGGCCCTCTACATTAGTCCTTGTTTGTTTTCCACGTAGTAGTAGTGGCTGTGTAGTCATTCAGTGCCATCTCTAGTAATGCATGCTTTTCAGGTGACAGCGTCCCACCATGCTCACTGTAAGTAAGCACATACAACACAAGCGGGAAACAAGCTCAAAACGGCGTTGGGAAGACCGCTGTGGCTTGCAATTTCGGAACATTGTTTGGAAGGGGTCTGCTGGGGGGAGGTCGTAGAGGGCCGTCTCGTCTCCCACGCGCAACTTGCAGTTGTCTTGTTGTTGATTGAGCGTGGTGACAGGCCCCTATGTTGGTAATCATAAGTGGCTTCGAGGAATTGCAAGTGGTATTCTTGTTGGAGGGCGGCAGTGGACTCGGTCTTGGGCAACCCGACCTTGCAAAGTGCACAATCAGGTACATGTGACAGAGCCCTATATTTACACTTCATCAGCCTAGCCCAAGTATACGTATATCTTCGGGGGTTCCCAGGAGGCTGATTAGTCTGGTCGATAAGAAGCATACTTACCTGCCTCTTTCGGACTAGTGTCATGTCAACACTAGGGACCGTGCGGACTAGCGGCTGCACAACGGCGATGCTTGTGAGGCTTCATCTAAAGCTTGGATTTTTCATTCTCCCTAGTTGCATGTCGTGTGCTCCATGATGCCCTCGACACACATCTAGTCTCCAGTGTAGCAGCACAATGCTCACGTACCTAGTAAGCGAACCAACTCCACACCCAAAATGCGACTCGGCCAAGTCCGCCTACCACAAGACCAACTCGTCGGGGAACCCGATCTTTGCCTACTTTGGCAGCTCTGCTCAACCCGCCAACAAAATATTCAAGCCGGCATTGTGTAATCCGCTCATGCCGCCTTCCCGATTAGGCGACACACTAATGTAGCGCAGCCTCTGCGATTCGTTGCCATCGACCGCATTGCCTCATCTGTTGCGGAATATGGACTCGACCCTACCAAGCACCGGCCGCTATCTCATGTCTATTCCATCAACAAACGGCGCTATTTCCCCGTCCCTTGTAGTGCGGCTGGCGCCCGGAGTGGATATAAATGCTCGTCACCGCCCGACATTCTTCATGTAGCTCAAGTTTGGCATTGCTCTTCTTCGCGTCATATCAAGTCGCTGCAATGGCACGCGTCACCAAGAGCATTGCGGCTCTGTCTCTCGCTTCAGGTGCTCTCGCCTCGCCGTTAATTGCCCGTCAATACAATGCAACGAGCCCGTGTGCCCAAGTAGCAAGCTCCGTCGCAACCCAAACAGCTGATGTGCCCACCGTCCCTGCACAATTGGCCTATGACTGTCTTACTTCAGTTCCTTTCAACCAGTCTGCTGCCCTTGCACTTGTCGACGGTGTGGTGCCCTATTTCCGATGGCAGAGCACCACTGTCTGGCTCAAGGATCCACCCAAAGAGTATGTCGAAAAGGTGCAACCCGCTGTCGACATCTGGGGTGAGCTTGACACCATAAGAGAAAAAGTAGTCAAGAGCGAGTATGACAACGAATATGAGGTATGTATTCGGCACACAAAGTCGACGTTGTAAGCCTTACCCATGTCACAGTTCGGCTTTGAGTTGTATCGTCTTCTGCAAACGACACACGACGGCCATTTTGTCTACGTGCCCGACATCGTAGGAACCGTCTTCAATTTTGCACGCCCAATCCCTCTTGTTTCCGCCTCGTCAGATGGCAAGGAACTACCAAAAGCCTACGTTTACGCCGATGTCTTGGCTGAGTCCTTTGGCAACGCAACCTTCAAGGCATCTCCCATCACCAAGATCAATGGCCAGGATGCCCAGGAATACCTCGAAAACTGGTCACAATACGGCTCTCTCCAAGACCGGGATGCTCTTTACAACAACGTTTTCTATGAGCTTGCTACTGTATCACTTGGCCCCACTGGATCTGGCATTGGCACTTTTGCTGGATCAGGGAGAGGTCGCTGGGTATGTAGATGCGTCCAAGTGAAGCTTCCAGGAGCAAGCTGCTGACTCGTGACAGATCTACCCTGGGGCTACCACCGTGCTTGATTTCGCCAATGGCACCAGCTATACCTACGAAAACTTTGCCAAAGTCTTGATCCCATTCGATGGCATCACTGATGGCGAGAGCCTCTACAAGCTTTGGTTTACCGGCAACCCACCCACCGAGACTGAAGATCCAGCTCCTTCCAACTCTACCACACCAACCCCCTCGGCATCCGCCTCTGCATCCGCCACACCAATCCCTGCTCCTGGCTACCCCCCACCAGTTGTTCGTCAAAGCCAAAACTTGATTGGTGGGTACTTCCTCGAAGACGAGTACTCCGATGTTGCTGTTCTGTCCGTTCCTTCATTTGTGGGCACCGATGCTCAGGTACAATTTCAAGCCACTGCTGTGAAATTCCTCTCCGCGGCCAAGGCTGCCGGAAAGAAGAAGCTCGTCGTTGACGTTCAGGCAAATGGCGGTGGTACCATCCTACTGGGATATGACCTCTATTTGCTCCTCTTCCCTAAAGACATCAATCACGCAGCAGCTGATCGATTCCGTGCTTTTGAATCAACGGACATCATTGGCCAACAATTCTCAAAAGCTTCTGAAGGCGTGACTAGAGAGCCAGTCACTCAAGAACAAAACGAAACACTGTACGATCTTCAGGGAAATGTCGTCTCTTCTATGTTCAACTATCGCACAGATCTAGATGTTGATGAGAAGCCCTTCTCCAGTTGGGCGGAAAAGTTTGGTCCCCATCATATGAAGGGCGACAACTTTTCAAGCCTTTTCCGTTGGGACCTGAACGATCCATTGATCACCCAGAACTCAGGTGGCATCTACGTTCACGGCTATGGCCCTCTATCCAACTATACTGAACAGCCGTTCGCTGCTGAGGACGTTGTTGTCATAACTGACGGGTACTGCGCGTCTACTTGTACCATTTTCTCCGAGCTTATGCGCCAACGTGCTGGTGTCAAGTACATCTCCCTTGGTGGTCGCCCTCGCGAGGGTATCACACAAGCCGTCGGTGGCGTCAAGGGCACCAACGACCTTCCTTGGACCTATATCCAGTTCCTTGCTCAATATGCCGTTCTCAACACCACCTCTTCGGCCGAAGAGGTAGCGCAGCTCAATAACACTGAGCTAAACCAGTATTGGTCTTCTGTTCCCTTCGATCGTCTCGCCATCGGTTCGGCAATGAATGTCAATTTCCGAGACGGCATTCGTGACGGCGACGAGACTGACACCCCACTGCAATTCATCTACGAGCCAGCCGATTGCCGCATCCTGTACACCAAGCAAATGACTATCGACATTACCGCCATCTGGAAGGCGGCCGCAGATACCACCTGGGGAGGAAAAAGCCACTGCATCGCTGGTGACTTTGGTGGATACTCAACAAACACCCTGACCAAGCGCGAGTTGAGCGGTAGAGAAGAGGCTCTGAGCAAGAGAATGAAGCAGTGGAGGAGAAACCTTGCACCGCAGGATTACCCACTCGATGTACGCACCGATATGCGCAAGGCAAAGATTATGGGTGACGGCGTTATGTGGCCGTAAAGCAATGGCATCATTGTTTACCTCCACCTTCAAAGTTGGAGAAGGCAATATTTTTGATAAATGAAAAAAAAATGACATTTCGTGACTAGCCAACATCCAATCCGTTTTGACAGCATAGACGGTGTTTTTGAACATTAACAAGCTAACACCGGTGTAGCGGCTATTTTCTTCTCACGGGGTTTAATTTGGACCGGTGAGCTCTTGGCTGCGGATTTTAGTGGGTCTGACTGTGCGCTAGCCTCGTTCATTTCCTAACCTGGTTGTGACCACATTCACTCCTTACACCGGTGATAGCAATTCACTTCTCAACTGGTTCGCTAGCCGCAGATTTTAGAAAGGCGAGTTGTGCGATAGACTCGTGCGCTGGCGGTGTTTTGCACCGTCGAATAGGCTCACTACCACACTTGGGAGTAAGTAGCAGCTTTCACTTTGTACACATGCGCATCTTGTGTTAAGTGGCTATAACTCGTATATTTTTCAAGATGACGGATGTCATATTGGATTGGATAATGTTCTTCCAGTCTTCCACTGTACAGCAGTGTTCTTGACACTCTACAAGGCGATCGTCCCTCATCTTATTCGTCAAACTAGCGTTCCCCGTCAGCTTGTTATTTCCGTAACCTGCAGCCTGTTTTTCTCATAATCCACAATACCCGTAACATCCAAGACGTTGCATTCCGGTATGTTAAGCGCACCAGCTGCTTATGTCGTGCAACATTTTCCTCGGCTTTACAAGTTAGTGCGTACGCTGTGAACCCGTTTTCCTGACGGCTCTTTTTGATTCAACGGTCGGCCGAATCGAGAAACGTCTTCAAGATACTTGTTCCAGATCTTGATCGGGCACTCTTAGAGACTAAAGCCGCGCTTAACAGCTCGAGAAAATGTTTCAACTATCGTACGATTCCAAATTACATCCAGTTGGATGATGTTATCATTCAACTCAACTATAGCCTCTTAGGTAACAACAAGAGCTCGAGCAACGATATCACAAGGTGTCATAGTAAAGCATCAATTATTAAGCACAGCGAGGTCGAATAAAACAAGCCATATTAGCTCGGACAAGCTTCCGGCCTTAAAGTTTGGCTGACATGCCTACTCGTCAAGGTGGCCAAGGTGGCCAATAATTCTGAAAGACTTCTGCGTACCACGGGGTGGAGTGATACCCCGAGTACGTACGCTTGCAGCAGAATGCTGCAGGGCTAGACGTAGATGGCTTTGGTGGCTACGAAAGGATGTAGCAGAGTAAAACCGTGCCGAGGCAGAAGCGACCTCGGTGGTTAAACCCGCTCGGCCATTAATGAATGCGGTTAGAGCACGTAAGCCATGCGCGGCCCATACCGTCAGCCACAAAACATGACCCACATATCCCGCTAGACGTCTGATTTCTTTACCTGCTTGGAATATGGTGATGGGATAACCGGTAGCCTATGTGCATGTGTCTCCTGATTCTGCCATTAATGGTCCTGTGGCTGCTTACACGGACCTCATCTTTGCTCTCGGTCGATGGGTCAAACCGGAAGCCTTGGCGCAAAAGCAGTTCAGCCCACCGAATCGCGCCAGCTTTGCTACGAAACCTTAGCACTTCTATAGCATCGTTTAAATAAAATATCAATAAAACAAATAGCCTGAACGTCCTTTTCGCTCCGAGAGAGTAGATTTGATTGAAGTAGTTTCACGGTTGCAATAAAGGTTGCAAGCGGATTTCATACCGATGGTAATATGATGCAATTTGATTTCCGACTTGACCGGATCACTGAAAGCTTTGCTAGCGTGACGATAGGGATGGAGCCTGGAACAGCTGTTATACCGCCCTGCTTTTGCACATGAAGAAACATGCAAGAGCTTAGATCACCGTAGTTGATGTTGTGTTTGTTTGTTTTCTATGCTCAAAATGTCTGCCTAGCACGCTCTTGCTAAGGATGAGCTACACTTCGGATCCAGCTTTGAAAAATTACAGCAACAATCTGTTCCTTTCTACTATGGAGTTATTGAAGGTTGAAGTAAGCATTTTGTCGTGTCACACACCTCTGCTGTAACGGTAGCGTCCGTTGAACCCGTTGAACCCGTTGAACCTGTTGAACCTTGAGCATAGCAACCCTGTCCTAGTGAAACACAAATGAAATCCCACTAAGTTGCAGATTGGCTGACGGCAGAAAGTGTGGCGACATCCTCCTTGAAGGGGTATTCCCTGAAGGAGCATTCCCTGAACGAGTGCTACGGTTAACTGATTTTGATTCCTGAACGCTACCTTGGCAAATTCGTAGCCTATGACGCCGCGCCATGCGCCTATGGTTGATCCACATCCCCACACCCAGCTGGGTGCAGTAACCAGTCTACTTGGCGTATCTCTTCCTCAAGCATGGTAAATTCTATGCCTGCGTGAACAGCGTAAGGGTACCATGACGAAGCCTAGCGACCTCGGTGCGTTGCTTCATATATATATCTTGCGTATCTTCGTCCACTGAATTTGCTCATAATTCGATTTCACTTCACCCCTATTTGCTTTCTTCGCCCTTATCACTACAAACATGGACTCACAACTCGCCGCACAAATCATGCGTGTGCTGCAGACGACAGGAATAGCGGCTGTCGTCTTTGCAGCATGGATCTTCGTCCCAAGACTACAGCACAGGTACTACATGAGCAGGCTGCCTACTGTTAGCGCAGGAGCGGCGTACGCGACCACTGCGGGTAAAATTTATAAAGATGCGTATAAAAAAGTAGGGCTTATTCTACACGCGACTAAAGTTTGCTTACTTACGAGATAATTAGTTCAAAGACCAAGCCTTCACACTCGTTAATGATCAGGGTATATCAACCCCTTTAGAAAAGCAATGTCTCGATCCACCACTAACATGTCTAGGCAAGGAAAACGTTATTATCCCTATGCGCTTCCTCCCAGAGATCCGAAATTTGGGCGACGATGTTCTTAGCTTCTCAAAGGGCATTAGTGATGCACGTAGAAAGCATGCCCTTTATTATACATGACTATCACGCTAACCTTTTCTAACAGGAAATGGAGATCCAATACACCAAACTAGTCGCTGAGAGTCATACCGTTACTGATACCGTCAAGACAAGGCTCACATCCGCACTACGTACGGCCTCCAAACACAAAAGCCACCTACTAGCCAATCCCGCTGACCTTTGTAGCTCGGTTGCACACATCTATCGCTGATGACGTCAAACTAGCCTTCCAAATCTTTCTACCCCCCTGTGACGACTGGACTGAAGTTAATATTAACGAGAAATTGGTTCCTATCATTGCCAAGGTCTCTGGTAGCGTCTTCGTCGGCCCAGAAATCTCTAGCCATCCTGACTACCTTGATGCTGCTTGCATGTACCCCGTGGATCTGTTCAACGTCGTCACTGCTGTTAAGAATATCAACCCATGGCTGAAGCCCTTTTTGGCCCCACGCACCCCAGAGGTTCTTACACTCCGCAAACGTGAGCAGCAAGCTAAGAATGTCCTCCGCCCTATCATCGAGCAGCGAATCGCAGCCAAAGCCAAAGACCCCCAGTGGAAGGAGCCAGAAGACGTACTGCAATGGATTATCAACAGGGGTAACGGCAAGATTTCTATCGACGACATTGTTAGTGGTCAACTTACATTGATCTTTGCCGCTATCCACACTACCAGTACTACCGTTACCAACACCATGTTCACCCTCGTCTCCAAGCCAGAATACATCAAGCCTCTCCAGGAAGAAATCCGCCAAGCTATCGCCGAGGAAGGTGGCGTCACCTATCGTGCAGTCCAAAAGATGGAAAAGCTCGACAGCTTCATGAAGGAGGTTCTCCGATTCCACGGTCCTAGTCTAAGTAAGTTTTCCAGAAACCCTAGCTCCTAGAGCCCATGATCTCCTTTCGCTCTACACCAACCGAAGCACAGCACTAACGCCCTTACAGCTGGTATGCTCCGCCGCGTGCTCAAGGGTATTACCCTCAGCAACGGCCAATACATCCCCCCAGGCGTCATGATCGAAATTGCCTCTCAAGCCATCTACCACGACGACCAATTCTACCCCAACCCCGAAGTCTTTGACGGCTTCCGCTCCTACAAGGCCCGCCAGTCGGGCAAGGCTGCAGACATTGCCCGCAACCAATTCATCACCACCAACGAGGAAAACCTTACCTTTGGCCACGGCAGGCACGCCTGCCCGGGTCGCTTCTTTGCTGCCCTTGAGATCAAGATGATTATAGCCCGCTTCTTGCTCGACTACGATATCAAGATGCCGAACGGACAAACCGAGAGACACCCCCAGATTGAAATGGGTAGGATATCAATTCCCTTCCCTGCAGGCCAGCTTCTCTTCAAGAAAAAGACCACAGCTTAAGCTCAGAAGGGTGCTTAGTTGTTTCCGGAGTAAGAGAGGAGGTTAAAATCTCAACCCCCTGTGTGTAACCATCGTTTGGCCGAGGCTTTCAGATAGGAGTAGTAGGGATTTTCTTGTATCGTAGAAGAGACACGTGCAGATTTCCAAAGTAAGAGTGTTTTTTCTTTTCTTTTGAAACACGCTGGTGGAGCTAGCGATCCTTTTACTCCTCTGCTATCAATGTAGATTACGGGGAAGGGTGTGGGGTAGTTTCGTAGACTAGGCATAAATAAAATGCATTCCTTGGAGTCCGTGTTGCCCGGTGGGGTTACAGCGGCCTTCCTGGACGTTCTTATCATGTCTAATGTACTTGATGTGGTTTTCATGCTGCCTCCAACGCTTGTTATACCGGAGGCCTTCCAATGCTTCTAACGAAGTGCTCTTATTCTGTCAACCGCAATGGGTTTGGGCGATTGCATGTGCTGGCTGGGCAGATAGTTTGACATGGTACGCATAGGAAGAGACCTTCTTTTGTAACTTTAAAGGGCCAGGGTTCTTCCAGTCTAGCTTCTTAGATACTCATTGCATTCGGATATTGCGCGCATCTAGTTAGAACTTGTTATTAGTTTCGCTTGCTAGTACGGGGGGGAGGGGGGCGGGCCGGCGTTTTCAGTTTGCACATTTTTGCTCCAGGACTTGGTCATAAGTAATTTTTCCACTGATAAACCCCGAAATATCGCGTATCTTATCAGTCATCGCATTCACCTCACGAGCTTAGAGAGGTTGGTGCATGCGAAGTTTCTTGTTGGTAGGCGGTTTATAGCACATCTGTGGGTTCTTGTTTGTTTACACATCATGACGTTGCTCTGTACGTTTTTGTTACCTTAGGCAAATCCTTCATTGTTTATACAGTAACAGCCATACGTAGTTTGTGTCGTTGGTCCCTGCTAGGGTATGTTGGTAATAGCTATTCATTATTGTTTATATTTAACAAGTGTAACACTAATTATTACTGTATTATGTACATTGTGACTAGCGGTACATGCCATTTGTTTGTAAGGAAAAGTGTCCAAGGCCTACAGCGGTATTATGCAGAGATTTTCGAGGGAAAATTAAAAATATCTGCGTAAAGGCCCATCTCTTAGGACATGCTTTTTCAAGCAGGAGAATTGAATGATGTCTTGTTCCTGGTGCTGGTGCTCTCCAACTCTGATCCCTTGTTCGTGTTGCGCTGAGACTACATCAGCAAAATGCCATTGGCCTTCGACGCCTGGCAAATGGGACCAAGGTCATTGGAAAGTCTGTTACCAGTCACATTAAGGACCTGGAGAGACTTGCTGGCACAGAGCGTCTCAGGAATAGTGCCAGTCAGTTTATTGTTGGAGACATCGAAGAGGGTGAGGTTGGCGATGGAACCGATGGAACCAGGGATAGAGCCGAACAACTTGTTCCCAGAAGCCATAAACTCCAGGAGGCTTCCAGCATTGCCCAGGGTATCAGGAATGGGACCTGAGAGGTGATTGTTCGCAAGAACAATGTAACTGCCGGGGAAAGCGCCAATCTCATTGGGTATTTGGCCCGAGAACTTGTTGTCGTTGAAGAAGAGGGCATCGAGATCAGGGTAGGCAGTGAAGACATTTCCAGGGATAGGACCGCTGAACTTGTTGTAGCGGAGATCGAGGAAAGTTAACTGGTTAGCCCTGAGTAAATTCTGGGGAAAAGGTCCAGAGAATTGATTGTTGCTCAAGTCGATCTCAAACAGATAGTGCATCTGGCTGATATCGGGTACTTGGCCGCTGAAATTGTTGGTATTGGCATGGAAGAGGGAAAGATCGGGAAACTTGTCGAGAAAGCCAGTCAATCTGAGTTTGCCACTCAGGTAAAATTCATTAAAATCAATGGCAGCGAGAGACAAGATGTTGTTGTCGGGGTTGGGGTAGCAGTAAAAACCCTCCCACGAACACAAATCGTCGCCCGATGCAGTCCAGTTAGCGAGGATCTCGGGAGGGCCAGTTACCTGCTTAGCGAAGGCTTTAGCAGTCTTCAAGTCGCGCCACAGGTTGGCAGGCATGTCCGACGGCTCATTACTATATTTGACAAGAGTTTTGGCGGGAGCAGCTTGACTAAGTGCAAAGAAGCCGGAGAGAACCAGTGCCAACATTTTGTGATGCATTCTTAATGATAGTATGATGTCTATGAGGTGACTCGAATAAAATGAACGACTGGAAAGTTGGAGATGGATGTGCTGTGTCTTTTTCTTCCTGCACAACGTTCAAGTTATATAGGAAGAGAAAGGTTTTACAATTCGTTGGACTCACTGGACTGTGTGTTGTAAGAATCTGTAATACGTCCGAAATGAATACCGAAATGCGTGCTGATGATTCCAATGATCATGTAATACTGTCATCTTTGGGTGTAGCGCCCTAGCGAAGTCCTCCGTACTTACAGGTACTTACCGCTTGCAACCAGACATCTTAACGTTGAATATTATGATCCTTGTACTTAACATTAATGACCCTCTGGTGGCCCTAGTTATCTAAACTTCGAGAATCATGTGTAATGTAGGGAAAACATGAGTCAAGCTTATTGATAAGAAAGCAATTTGATAAAGGTTTCACATATAGGCTCGAAACGGGTAGCCACCGCTGGATCAATGCCGCCATAAATCATAGCAACGTAGGTTGTATCAATGTATAGATGATGGCTGTCGTTGGATGCATCTTATGCAACAATGCCTAGAGATGTGTTCGTCTATGGATACTTAGCTGTGCTTCAATAAGTGAACAACGTTAAGATCTCAGACCCTAAATCCAATTCGTGAGTCATACTGTCGGTTTACCACTTCATGGTAGGTTGGTTCAGTCGCTGACATGAGAGGCTCTAGCACTCCAAAGTTCACAGAAAAGGCCCTACAGGTAGACCATCTTACCTAAGAGGATCATGAAGATTGAGAGTGTGGGTACCGGTGGAGAAATAACTTGCGCCAAACAGTTCATGAGTTAGATGGCAGAGTCAGACTACAGCCATCAGAAGCTCGACACATCTAAGGTTCATTGACAGCGATTATTACGGCGTTCGTAGACCGCATCTAGTCCCCTAGTAGCTTTGTATAGCAAAAGCAACGCATCATACTGTTTACATGTTCTAATGCTACAGATGTCAAGCTCAGGGGTACAAAAAGGAGTGGGAGCTGGAAAGCTTGAGAATTATTGCACGCATATAAACACTTTCATGCTTGTGAAGCTGAGATTGCTAATTTCAGCGACCCAAAGTTTAGTGCCTCGGTAAATTCCGAATAAGCATACTATCAGCGGCCCTTTGGCTAGTTAAGCTTACATATCTCGTGCTCGAGCTTTCTTTTTGCAGAGCTATGGACCAAATGGGATCATATTAATCCAAGAAGACACCGGTGAAAGTAAGGACGATGTGTGCAAGCAAGCACTTCAGATGTCTGGACCTAAAATGGAGGTCCATACATATAAGTATGTATAATTTCACTTCACACGTTGTCCAAAGATCGGTTGGGGATGACCGGACCGATCGGCGGAACTATTTCGATGGACCAGAATCTAGCCAGATCATCAGACGAGCTAAATTCCATAAATAGTACACGATGGATGATCAGGCCATACCACATTACTGTGTAATATCTTGGCCGAATTCAGTTTTCTTCACGAAAATTGTACCGATAGAATGATATAGCCCGATGATATTTACTGGGTCAAATGTAGGACGAAAAACTGTATATGCGCAGAGAGTATGGATCCTTGCTCACACATGTCACCGCTCAAACAATCTGGAAATTCCTTGAGACACCGGGCTGAATGACTTCAATCGCCTTGGAAATCTCAGACACGATGCGCTCCTGACCCTCCTTACCCGCCGCATCTGTCACTAGTGCACTCGGTTCCTCGATCAAGCAGTCGTTCAGATACTTGCCATGCGTCTCCATGCCCGAAGCACCCGCGTGCACTAGTGTTCTGCTGCCCACCTCTGTCGAGCGTGCCACCAGCAGCCTGAAGAACCAAAACCCCCAACCTTTAACATCGCGCGCCAGCGCTGACCAGCACAAGCCTGGGTTGACAATGTTAACGGTTATAGGAAACTCGCTGGCCGGATGATGGTCAGCAATAGCCCGCACAACTAGCAGCTGTATGAGCTTAGACACAGGATACTGTTGTGACCAGTATTTCTTGCATGTCTCTTCATCGGACAGCGCAATCAGAATCTGGCCATCAGGGGCGGAGCGTTGGGGAAAGGTCGTATGGTCATAGGCGGCAGACCCGGTAATGGTGAACGTGGGTCGAGTATTGAATCGGATAGCTGTATCACGCATCTTAGGCATCATATTAGCCATTAGCAGCGTTGTGGCTATGACATTGACAGCTATGCCTTCTTCGTGCCCATTAACTTCGTAGTACTCAGAGCGGACCACGCCAGCATTAGCAATAAAAATGTCGATGCGTTCTAGGTCGGCTTCAGCGCGCTTCGCGAACGATTTTACGCTACTATAGTCGCTCATATCAAGCTTCCAAACTTCGGTGTTCTGATGTCCTGTCGTACGCATAATGTCATCCCTCGCTTCTTGGCCCTTTTCGACACTGCGAACTGCCAGGATGAGTCTACCGGCGCCCATTCGCGCATAGTGTCGTGCTGCTTCTTTTCCAAGGCCGATGTTGCTACCTGTGACGATGATTGTCTTTCCACTGAAGTTTCCCTTGGGATAAGGTGGCGTCCTAAAGAACTGGCTGTACAGGAAACCCATAGTTTAGGGGTCGGGGGTTGGAAGTTGAGTATGGAGGATTTAGGAAGAAGAGGAGTGTAAGCAAAGAAACGTGTCAGGTCAAAGAAGATGTTTTTCTCGGCTTTGCGTTCTCAAAGGCAGTCATTTTATCCATATATCAATCGGTACACCCTTGCGGAGCTATCGGGACTAAGACCATCGTGCTTTCAGCTTCAGTCACGCTTCTTGTGTCGGTATATCCTCACTCGGGAACTAACGCGGTGCAAAAGTTGCGAGCAGTCAATTCCGACCCGAGTCCCGTAGTGCTTGCTCCGACCCGAGCTGCGAACACGCGCTAATGGACCATGCGACCACGTCTTGATGTATATGAAAAGCACAACAACATTGAAGGATAGTAGAGGCTATTCATGCTAGCTGTTTGGAAGCACAAATCATGCCTACCTACGCAATTCTCGGCTCCACTGGTAATTGTGGCATGGCCTTGATGAAGAACCTCCTCAAATCACCTGACAACAGAATCCATGCCTATTGCCGCAATGTCGCAAAATTATACAGACTGATTCCAGAAATCATTGGTAATGAAGATATCAAAGTCTTTTCTGGGAGTATTACCGATGTTGAGCTCATGGAAGAGTGCGTGCGCGATACTCATGCTGTGTTCATGGTGGCGACAACCAACGACAACATTCCTGGATGTCGCGTCAGCCAGGTGAGATGACACTCTCGAATCCGCCCAGCTGCCGTAATCGCGAACTAACGCATAGGTTGCGCTACCTAGGATAGTGCTGGTACAGTCATCGCTGCGCTGAAAAATATCAAAGCGAAAGCATTGCCTGGTCTTAGGCTTCCTACACTGGCCCTTCTCAGCTCTGCCACCATTGATCCGTACTTAAGTCGCAACATGCCTTCATGGTTTCGCCCAATCATGCTCATGGCCGCATCCTACGTCTATGAAGACTTGAAGGTTGCTGAGAAGTTGATGCGCGCCGAATCATCGTGGCTGCCGTCCATCTTCATCAAGCCTGCTGGTCTTTCTCCCGATGTTTCACGAGGGCACCGATTAACATTGGATGAGGAAGAAAGCTTCATCAGCTATTTCGACCTTTCAGCAGGTATGATTGAGGCTGTACAAGATCCTGATGGTCGCTATTGCGGGAGGAATGTTGGTGTTGTCAATGCAAAGAGAGGTGTTGGCGCCAAATTTCCCTCGGGTACCCCAATGTGCATCTTAATGGGACTGATGAGACACTTTTTCCCATGGCTACATCCTTATTTGCCAAGCACAGGTCCCTCTTAGAGATATGAGACAGTAGTTTGAACAGATCATCAAACAATTAACGTTATCGGTTCCCACCTTTCCCAGTAGAAGATTACATTTCATTGTTTGTTGATGTCTTGTTGTGAATACATTTGACACGCGGAGACAAGCAGTCGTGAACTGCAACTCGAAGTATATGTGGACATAGTCGATGGGCCCTCACACGCATATCAAAGTCTAGATATGCAAGTGGGTAGAAGTACATGACACTCAAGCATGTTAGGCGGTCGTCTCATATAATAATTCGAACTTGCTTGCTTCCAAAATCATCGTCACGGGGTTGAAAGGAATAGGAGAGAACCATTTGTTCAACATCCATTTATCTGCTCAAAGAGAACTCACAAAACCTAGGGGGCAACCAAATCCGGCCTGTTCCAAGGCTGCTCAAATCCAGTGAACGGCACCCACTTGAGATCTGAAGGCCGGTTCCCTGTTGTGTCCTGGCACATCCTTGCCAACTGCAGCCACATATCTCCCTTCATTGGAAAGTACTCTTCATACTCTCCTTGCTCAAACTCCCTAGCAGAATCTTCCCCGTTTTTCAAAGCACGCATGAATTTGGCAGCATGTCCGTCGTCATGCTCTTTGATAACCTTGTCGAAAAGCATATTCCAGCACAGGTCGTTGCTCTCGATCGAAGAGTATTCAGAAATAGCACTATGATTGAGTTTTGCAGACCCTGAAACGGCATACCAGGCCAGATCCAGACGTGCTTTCCACTCGACAAGGCGGACGCGGTCCTCAAGCCGGATCCATTCTTGATTGTTAAACACGGTGAAGAATATGCTACTGGTGACACAGTGCATATAGAAGAAATCAATCTTGGTCCTGCGATTCGGCTTGCTCTTGTCCTGCGCGGCTCCCGCAAAATACGCACATGTACTGATCATCTCAGCAGTTCGACGCTTGAGATCTTCCTCATCATTCTTAATGCGGAACTGTGACGCCAGACTGGCCATTGCTTCACCCGCGCGACCTATAACGCCGTCACGCATCTTGTTGCCAAAATCGGTCCATCTGGGCGCGCTGCGAATCACATCGGTTGTGCGTACTTCTTCCACCAACTCGAGCAGCGACTTGGGTTTTCGTGACGGATAAGAAATGGCGGCTTGTTGCTCGGAATTTTGGAAAAATGTGCTGATTCTGGAGTCATCGTGGGCGGCGGCCTGGGCAAGTGCCTCCGCGATGATGACTGGTTGTTGGAACTCGACGCCGAGACCGAGGTGGATGATGGGGTGATAAGCACCCTCAAACATGCGTGCAAGAATGAGATCAGCTAACTTGGTACGTGCTAGGACGTACTCTTTCATGACCTCTTTCCAACCCTTGTCTCCGACCTCGCCCTTGAAGAATTCGAGAAATGTGTGATACTGATGGATCTGCCCAACAATAGAATCGTATAGGATGTCGTCTTTATCATCGCTTCTCAATTTCTCCAGTAATTCTACATCCACCGAGGGAATTGCGCGCTGAATCGGTACGCCGTCATTGTATCTTGCCCTGAGTTCTTCCGGGCTACCACCCAGTGCCAGGACTGTAAGAAGGCTGTGAACGATATGGTTATGTCCCGCCGTATCCCGGAAGAACATGTGCCATTTCTCGTGATTCTGTTGGAGGAGCTTATTGCATTCTTCAAGCGATTCCAAAGTAGCGTGACTCGCTGCTTTGATGAGTCCAGCGTGGGAGGGAGAAAGTTGAATTGCAGTAGTCTCCATTGTTTCTAGTCTCGTGTCTTCAATGGATATCAAAACGTAGGAGATCCAAAGGGGCTGGCTTTTATACGCGCTAAGCTTTCGGGATATCCCTGTTTTACAACAAGGTTCTATGGTTCTTAGGTAAGTATCGGGACATTATATCGGGTATCGGAGCCCGATAGGCCGAGAGATCCAATGGCCATAATTCGGGATCTCGTATGAAGATGCCGAGGTGCTTATAGAGTAGAATGAGTGTGGTAACACTCAAACAATAAACGAAAAATACGAAATAGGCATGTTACCATGGAGTTTTCCGTTCAATCAATGGCTAAGGCTAGGGGTTTCGAAACGTTTCCAAGCAACAACACCAAGGGATAGATTCGAAAGTTAGGTAGCGTGCTGCCATGCATTTCAAAAGTTTTAGTTTACAAGACTGTAAGTCAAGCATGGAAATCTTTGAAGCATTTATACCTAAAACGATGTTCTAAAGTTGTTCAATTAATTCAACTTTATTTCCAATATTTCAAGACAGCCTCCTGGAGCTCAGACTTGATGATTTTATGCGTTGCATTGACTGGGAAGCGAGCCAATCCTAGTTGCTTTAGACACACGACCCCTCCAAGGGCATACTCATCGCCAATAGCTGTGCATACATGCTGTTTGACTTGTTCTACACTGACATTTGTGAAAGACTCGACTACCGCAATCGGTTGAGCGCCTAATACTGGATGGGGCACTGGCACTACAATAGCCTGATGTGATCGTCAATGCATTGGATCGATTGATGCACACAGAAAGGAACTTACCTGAGACCGAATAAGAGTAGAAATGCAACTTTCAATGATTGCAGGTGCTATCATGACGCCTGCGCGCTGGATCATGTCCTTGCGTCGGCCCATGATGAACACCAGCCCATTTTCATCAATCATCGCCATGTCTCTGGTATTGAACCAACCCCCTTCTGTGTCGTTATAAAACATATCTGCAGAGCGGCCTCCGAGATAACTTTTAATTATACTCGGACAAGAAATATGAAGCTCTCTAAGCTCACTTATTCTCACTATACCTTCATGCGCAATGGACTGGAGCCGTATTTTGGCACCAGGAGCAACAACCCCAACTGGACAAATTTGGCCTCCAATAAATGGAGTGGTTTCCGGGCGAGTCCCAAGAAACGGCCAAGTGAACACACCGGGTCCTTCGGTCATACCTTGGTTCACGCATACTTGCGCCTGCGGAAACAGTGCCGCACACTTGATCAGGACTTCTTTTGTAACAGCATCGCCACCTATCTGGATCCTCCTCACACATGACAAGTCCAGGGAAATTTTTGCAAGCTCAATGGCAAATTCGTGCACCATTGGTGGGGTTAATACAAGGAAGCTCGCGCCAACTAGGTCTATGGCTTTGATCGCATCGGGTACACTGTATGTCACACCAGAACGTCAGTATGAATACTTCATTCTTCACAAACACATCTACATGAGTAGTGCTTCACTTACCTGAAGGATTGTCCCGTGAAGACTACTGCACCACCTGCGCGCCAAGTTTGCAGTGTTTGCGCCGGTGCGATGCCCCGCGAATTGTGTGCCTGCATCAGTGCATACTTGGCAGCTCCAGAATCCGGATCGATGAGCCATTCTTGCGAGTGTAGAGCATAAGACATGGCAGCCACAGTCTGAGGACATCCCTTTGGCATGCCTGATGTGCCTGATGTAAACATTATAGAGTTGATCCGATTTGGGTTATGGTGCCGTGCTGCCAAACCAAGCGATTCGTCCTCGAGGAGTCGTTGAGAATTTGCATGTGCAGCCACCGCGACGAAGCTTTTCCATCCTGTAGACGACAAAACTGAATCTGACAAACAGATCCGTACCGGCTGGGGCAATCCAAGTTCTGATATGGCGATGTCGATCATCTTTCCACTGCACGTGTCAGGCGCTACAACAAGTTGTGGCCTTGCCATTTGTAGCATCTGTTTGAGTGCCGCGGAACTGGACATATCTAGCAAGCTCGGGTCTAAATTTACATACGTGATGCGCAACAGTATGCAAGTCCAAAGTAAAATGGCATACTCAGCACCATTTGGAATGAGCATAATCATAGTTGTGTTGGGTTGAACACCCACAGCGAGCAGCCCAGTAGCAATCCTCAAGGCGGTATGATGGAGTTGTGTGTATGTAAGCGTGAAAGAAGTACTGTTCCCTTCGATAGCAGAACTGCGAGGATGGATCTCCTTTATTCCGCTAGCTGGCTGTGCTCTGCTTTGATTCTTACTGCACAGCTTGGGCGTTGCAGAATGGCACTGGAATCCATTGCTCTCATTTCCTTCGCTAGTTCCAGAACAAGCAGTCACCAAGTTTTGAATGCTGATTGACTGTTCCATCAAGCAGACCACTGCTGGTCCATGTGGATTTCTCCTCAATCCGCGTTCGACGTGTTCGAACATTGACAATTGAGCCCATGTTTTGCTCTCAACTCCAGCAAGGACTTCTCCATCTTCAGCCAGGAGATTGTCCATCTGCAATCTGTTCTCCGGACAGAACGATAAGGACAGATAAAGAAATGTAAGAATAAAGGCGAATATAATCAGAAGATAATACTCTATCGCAATAGCAAAGAAGGTAGGGTAAATTTTTAAAATTTTTGAATTTGATTTGCAGTAGAGTCGGTAAAGCCTAAAGCAGGTTGAAAGAGTCTGATAGAATGCCGGGTCCTACTAATCACAAGAATATTTTGGTTATAATAGACCTAGCTCCGCTGCTTCGAGTGTCTTTATGGAACCAACATTTGTGAGAGGAGAAAGAGTGAAGAATTACATAACCCATGTATACCTTATTGATTGACTGATGTAGGATTGGTCAACGACGCTCGAGGATCGGAAGCCGAACGTCGGATATCGGACCTTGGCGTGGGAGTCGGGGGTCGGGATACCTACGCTCTAACGGGCTTGCACTCCAGCCTCCGATGTCAGCTGAGTCATGGGTCAGGCTCCTGGCTGCACCGTTATCTCACTAGTCAGACACTCTGGCGATGGGCGACGCGCTAACAGGTAGCGCCACGCTAAACTCCTAAGCCAGTACTTGTCACCCACAATAACGTGTTCTATTACTAACAATTATCAGATTTAAATCTATAAGCTCTTGCGCATCTTTTCCACCTGGTATCGACATACCTAGCTATCACGAACGCGTCCTCGCAGCCCGTAGCGTCCTCGCCCGCAGCGTCCTCGCAGCCCCCAGCGTCAACCCATCAAGTCTGCTATCTAACTCTTCTACTAAACTAGATATATTAAGTACTATAAGAGGCTA